ATTAGATCATACTCATGTACCACCTTTTTTTAAGACATTCTTCTTTCACTGGACACATCATTTGTTTCTAGTTTTGGGGGGTGTTCCAAATAGTGTTGCTATGCATAATTTTTTACAAGATGGATCCTTTCTTCTTATCATTAACATCCTTAGGGAACAGACCTAAAAGTGGGATTACTGGATCAAGGAGTGGGTCCATGTCTCTAACTTGTATTGTAAAACAGATGGAATTCAATGAAAATAAATGATTAAGAAACAGATAATGTGCTGTAAGACAGCTCACAAGAAAAAAAAAAGATCTGGAATTTTAAAGTGATTGCCCACTCAGTAAACTAATAATAATGATGATGATGATGATGATGATGATAGCAATAGCTAACACTTATAGTGTTTACTGTGTGCCAGGCAGTGTGCTGAGTGCTTTATAAATATTATCTCATTTGATCCCCATAACAACCCTGGGAAGTAAATGCTATTATTATCCCTGTTTTGCAGTAGAGGAAACTGAGGCAAAATGGAGGTTAAGTGACTTGCCTAGAGTCACACAGCTAGGAAGTGTCTGAGCCAGGATTTGAACTCAGGACTTTCTGACTCTAGTCGCTTTGCTCTATCCACTGTGCCATCTAGCTACAGTGGGTATTTCTATGGGGCATTAAGGTTGTGAAGTGCTTTGCGAATACTATTTCATTTTATCCTCCTAACAGCCCTGGGAGGCAAGTGCTAGTGTTATCCAAGTTTTACAGATGAGGAAACTGAGGCACAGAGACAGGAGCTGCTCCTGATGAGTGGCTATTTGGCAGAATCACAGAACGTCAAAGATCTTAGGGATTCTCTAGTTCAAACCCCCTCCCCAACTTTACCAAGAAGGAAATTGTCGCTTTCTAGTTATATGACTAGTTGAGCAAATGTCTTTCCTTCTGGGCCTCAGAGTCAGGACTAGAATCCAGGGATTCTAACTCCAAATACAGTGCTATTTGAGAGACAGTCCAGTTCATTCATTCAGTCTGATGGGGAAAGATAATGTATCCTGGCCTTGGAGTTGCAGAAGACCAGAGGTGAAAGCCCACCTTTGGGACTTCTAGTTGTGTGACCCTGGGCCAGTCATTTAGCTTCTTGAGTGTCAATTTCCCTCTCTTTAAAAAGGGGAATAAGGGGGCAGCTAGGTGGTGCAGTGGATAAAGCACCGGCCCCGAAGTCAGGAGGGCCTGAGTTCAAATCCAACCTCAGACACATAACACTAGCTGTGTGACCCCGGGCAAGTCACTTTACCCTAATTGCCTAAAAAAGTAAAAAATAAAAATGAGAATAATAACTTCCATTTTTCCTTCTTCTCAGGGTTGTTGTGAGGTTCAAATGAGAGCATGTATGTAACATGCTTTGCAAAACTTAAAGCACAGAGCCAGGCACATGGTAGGTACTTAATAAATGCTTGTTGACCGACTATATTATCGGTTATTAATTTTTTCACAATACTGTGCTATTTACATCAAAGTTAATAAATTCATGCATTAGCTGGTTGCCATTTGTATGATACCAGGTGATGAAAAGTCAGTAAATATTGATTAAATACCTTTATTAAGAGACAGCTGATAGGACAGGGATAGAGCTCTGGGCCTGGAATCAGGAGGACCTGAGTTCAGATTTGGCCCTCAGTGCTAGCTGTGTGTGTCCCTGGGAAAGTCACTTAACATCTCATTGCCTCAGTTTCTTCAACTGTAAAATGGGGATATTAGCACCTACCTCCCAGGGTTGTCATGAAGATCGAATAAGATAGCTTAAAACTGCACTAAGACTTTTGGGATGCCTTATATACAACAGAACACAAGAGCATTCTATATAAAATCCCAAAGCTGTATTTTATGTTGTTCTTTTAAAAAGTATGCAATAAATCCCACACATTACTCTTTTTTTCCACTCTATCACTTCTTTTCTTTTTTTTTGTCATTAATTTATTTTTATTTTTCAACAGTCACTAGTTTTAAATTTTTCTCCCCTTCCATCCCCAAGATGGTGCGCAATCTGATATAGGCTGTACATATACATTCCTGTTACACATATTTTCTCATTAGTCACCACACATTACTCTTTTTTTTTTTTCTTTTTGGTGAGGCAGTCAGGGTTAAGTGACTTACCCAGGGTCACGCAGCTAGTAAGTGTCAAGTGTCCGAGGCCTGATTTGAACTCAGGTCAGCCTGACTCCAGGGCCGGTGTCTATCCACTGCACCACCTAGCTGCCCCCGACACATTACTCTTAAAGCCATCCTGCTTGATTGTGCTTCCTTTTCAGTGTTCTTCTGTCCATGTAAATGTTTAGATTTCTAGATGTGTGTAGTCCTCTCTAACTGCAGCATAAGATTTTGTTTGCTATATTAGTTAACAATTGTTGGCTTTTATTGAGTTTGTGTCCACCTAAAACCTAGGGTTCTTTTTCCTCCTGTGAACTGCCCTCTGGTTTGTTTTACTTAGTGTTACATACATGATTGGTGGTATTGATATCCATCCCTATCCTCATCCTCAATTACCTCCTCCCTATTAAAAAAATCAAGAGGCAGCTAGGTGGAGCAGTGTATAGAGTACTGGGCCAGGGACCAGGAAGACCTGAGTTCACATTCAACTTCAGAACATACTAGCTGTGTGACCTTGGGCAGGTTACTTAGCCTCTGTTTTATTTTTTTTAATGGCTTTATTTTGTTTTTATTTTTTCAGTTTGTCAGTTGTTGTTCAGTCATTTCAGTTGTGTCTGGTTCTTCGTGACCCCATTTGGGGTTTTCTTGGCAAAGACACTGGAGTCGTTTGTCATTTCCTTCTCCGGCTCATTTGACAGATGAGAAAACTGAGGCAAACAGGGTTAAGTGACTTGCCCAAGGCCACATAGCTAATAAGTGTCTGAGGCCAGATTTGAGCTCAGGTCTTCCTTGATTCCAGGATGGGCTCTCTCTCCACTGTGGCACCTAGCTGCCCACTTAATCTCTATTTGCCTCAGTTTCCTCATCCGTAAAATGGGGCTAGTAATAGCATCTACTTCTCCAGATTGTTGTAAGGCTAAAATTAGGTAATATTTGTAAAGTTTTTTATGAATCATAAAACAGCGTATAGATTCTGTTATTATTAATTATAGCAAATAAGCATAGCCAAGAAATGAATCCACGTGGTAGCTATGCCACAATATGTCTCCTTCTGCAGTTTGAGCCCATGACCTCTCCATCAGGAGGTGGGTAGCATGTTTCTTCATCAATCCTCTGGGGACGTCCAAGAACACTTGGTAATGCACAGTATAAATATGAGTTATCTCTGTGTATGGCTTAGCATACGTAAAGACTTTGTTCTTTGAGGGACATACTTTTTTGTCCTTGGGAACACGGAAGAACAGAGTGGTGCCATCACTCAGCATTGTGGCTTGTGGCTGGACGCCGTGGCCAATGAATGTGGAGAAGGACCAGTGATGGTTCCCTTGGCAATCACTGTGCCCTAGACTGCTTCTCTAGGACAGGCCAGCTGTGACGGGGAGGTGGGACTCTGGCTGCTCTGTCTGTGGTAAGAAAATCAGAATTACAGCAGACTGGTTTCTGATGAACTAACCTCCTTGGGGATGTGGCTGAGTAATTGCGTACCAAGCAATCTGGTATGCAATACTTACCACCCAGGATGCCACAATTTAGAGAGCCCTGCAGTAGTCTGTGGGTGAGGAAAGAGGAGAGGAGAATACCAGGAAATGAGGCTGGGAGGAGAGCATTGCTACAGGAATCCTATAGCAATAGAATTGTTACATAGAACTGTGATATAATCCTTCCCGCCCATTGGGAAGGGATGGGGCAAGGGGAGAGTTTATAGATTCAAACTGTCTGGTAAAATAATAGAATGCCCCCTAGAAAGGGTCCTTAGAATGTAGGATGGCAAGGCTAAAAAAAGGGACCTTTGATTTTGTTTACTCTTTCTGATGGTTCCTCCTATTGGTTTTAATTTCTACTTATAACATCACTAATATGAAAATATGATTAATAGGAATGTAAATGTATAGCCTATATCAGATTATGCACCGTCTTGGGGAGGGTGGTGGGGAGGGAGGGGGAGAAAAATTTTGAGCTCAAAAGCATATGGAAGTGATTATTGATAAATCAAAATAAATTAATAAAAAAAATAAAAAAATAAAAGGGACCTTTGAAACCACTGAGTTTTTTTATTCTTTTTTTTTTTTTAATTTTTTAGGCAATTGGGGTTAAGTGACTCGCCCAGGATCACAGCAGCTAGTAAGCGTCAAGTGTTTGGTCTGAGGCCGAACTCAGGTCCTCCTGACTTAAGGGACGGTGTTCTATCCACTGAGCCACCTAGATGCCCTACTGAATTTTTTTTAGAGGGGATAATTGAAGCTCCGGAGTTCCCTTGCTCACGATCACAACTGCCTAGACCTAAGAAGGGCCCTTAATAAATGCAACCAAGAAAAGTTTATCTGGCTCTGGATTTTTGTGACTTTTCAAAGGAAAATGAGGGCCAGACATGGGAGATGATGGGGTTGTGGCCTAAAGGTGGAGGTTGGGTTGTCAGTTTTTGGTCTGCCATGTCAGATCCATTAAGTATTCTAGAAGGGGGAGGTAGAGAGAGAGATAAGTAGGAGCTGGTGTTTCCTAGCTCCCCACTCCACAAAAAAACATGGTGGTCTTATTCTGCAGCAGAAAAATTGAGTTAAGGTTGTAAGTCTTTAGCTTCGTTCAGTAAGCGTGTATTAATCACCTGTGTGCAAGGTAGGAGCAGCTGGGTGGCGAAGTGGATAGAGCTCCAGGCCTGGAGTCTGGAAGACTCATTTTCCTGAGTTCAAATCTGTCCTCAGACATGTACTACCTGTGTGACCCAGAGCAAGTCACTTAACCCTGTTGGCCTCGGTTTCATCATCTGTAAAATATACTGGAGAAGAAAATGGCAAACCAATCCTGTGTCTTTGCCAAGAAAACCCCAGATGGGGTTACAGAGTCAGACATGACTGGAAAATGACTTTACAACAACAACAAATATGCAAAGTATCATTTCTAGGTGATGAGTATACAAATACAAAAATAAAATTCTGCCATTAAATTCTACTGGGGGTGAGAGAGACAGCGTGGACAGATAAGTAAATATAAAGTATATACCAAGTAAATACAAAGCAGTTTGAGGGAGAAGGGTACTAAAAAACTAAGCTTAAGTCTGGGTTCAATATTGGGTAGCTGACTTAAGAAGGCCGTTTTCTCTTTTTGATGTGTTTGCTCTGGGAAAGTCTCCAAATAAGCTTAGATATTGCTTGGGTCTAAATGATGGGTAACAAAGGTTCCCCGCTCCAATATAAGCGCTCAAGGTAACAAACACTTTTCAGGTAGAGGATAGCCTTTCATTTCAGCCCGTATAAATCGCAGAAAGTACAAGGGATTCACAAAAGCCCATAAGCTGATATAAAAAAAATAATAAGATACTCCTAGTAGCCCATAAACTTCTGGGCAATATGCTGATATTCTAGTGAATCATTAGTTCTCCTACAAGGTCTTCCACAGTCCTCTGAAAGATTTATGGTTGTCTTATTGTGGATTAGAATTTTCCTTATAAGGCAAATGCCCTTTAGTGCTGTGAAACAAGTAATGCCCTTCCTATTAGATATATGTTGTCCAAATAACTCACTGTCCTATTAGGGGGAGTGAGAGGGTGAGGAGGAGCAAGGCCTCAATCTCTTGTAGCCCATGTCCTCTCTTCTGCCCTGTGTTACGTGACTTTAACTCTTAACTGTACCTTCAGCTTTAGGGACTATATGGGAAATCCTCTTCTTTTTCCAAGAATCCAGGTAAGGAAATTTTTTACTTTATCCTGTAAGATCTGATTTCCAAACTCTTGCACTTGGGGTTATTCTCAAGGTCATCTCTAAGGCTGAAGTTGCCCAAGAAATCTTCCTTTAGCTAGAAGGCTGAGTTCTGGGATCATGCTTCGTGACCCCTTTTGCAGTACATTTCAGAGGCTGGATTTGACTTCAGGTGTTCCTGGCTTCAAAGCTGGCTTTCTTTGCTGCCACATAAAGGATTAGGAATTTAAGAAATAATCCTAGGTAGAATGAAGAAGCAGACAGGACTGAAAAAGACCGAACAACAACAAAAATGAGGGAGGAAAAATGTCAGGTCTAGAAAGATAAGTTGGAGACACAAAGAAAGACGTTCATATCTTCTCTTACCAGCAGTAGGCAGGTAGTGGAGCATCATGACCAAGGAAGTGACATGGCGGTCTCTGTACTATGGTAGTGTCAGTTTGGCAGCTGGGAGGAGGATGGACTGGAGAGGCAAGAAGTGAGGCGCGATGATCAGTTAGGAGGCTTGACCCTAGGAGGGTGGTGGCCATGTGAGTGGAGACAGGGTGATGGAGGCAAGAGATATTACAGAGAGACAATGGACAAGGCCTGGCAACGGACTAGATGTGGGTAGTGAAGGAGAGGGGAAGGTCAAATGATCACTCTAAGGTTGAAAACAGGAAGGGTGGCACCCTCAGCAGAAATAGGGAAGTTAGGGAAAGGAGTGAGTATTTTGGGGGAAAATAATGAATTTTAGTGAGTTTGAGATGCCTAGTTGGACACGTCCAACAAACGTTTGGTGCTTTTTTTATATCCTTAGCACTTACCATGATGCCTGGAACATAGTAAGCTAGATAAATACTTGTTGATTGATTGATGGGTGGGGATGATGTGGAAATAGAATTCAGAAGAGAGATTAGGGCTGGATATGTAGCCATCAGCATAGAGATGATTGAATCAATGGGAACTGATCCTTTGAGAAGGTAGAGAGAAAAAAGAAGACCCATAAAAAGCCATAGGGGGCACCCAAATTTAATAAGAATAATTGCTACCATTTATATAGGGCTTGCTGTGTGCCAGGCACTGTGCCAAATGCTTTGCAAATATTATCTCATTTGATCCTCACAACAACCCTGTGAGGTGGGTGCTGTTACTATTCTCAGTTAACAGCTGAAGAAGGTGACGCATACAGACATTAAGTGACTTGCCCAAGGTCACACAGCTAATGAGTATCTGAGACTGGATTTGAACTCAGCTCTTCCTGACTCTGGGCCAATGCTCTATCCACTGGGCCACCTAGCTGCCACTAGTGGGTGAGACATTGATTAATTGATCCTGCGCAGGAGTTAAGGAGAAATTAGACAGGAAAACTAGGAGAGAGCGATGTTATGAAAATCCAGGGAAGAGAAAGTGTCCAGAAGGAGGGCTGGTCAATAGTGCTGTAGGCTGCAGAGGGGTTATGGCAGAAGAATGCTGACGAAAGGTTGTTGGGAGTTTTCAATGGTGACCTTGGGGAGAATGGTCTCAGTCGAATAGTGAGGTTGAGAGCCAGATTGTAATGGGTTAATAAGTGAGAGAGAAAATGGAGGGAACAAATGTAGTTGGATTTTCTTTTTAAGAAGTTTGGTTGCAGGGCAGCTAGGTGGCACAGTAGATAAAGCATTGACCCCAAAGTCAGGACGACCTGAGTTCAAATCTGGCCTCAGACCAAACACTTGACACTTACTAGCTGTGTGACCCTGGGCAAGTCACTTAACCCCAATTGCCTAAAAAACAAAAATTAAAAAAAAAGAAATTTGGTTGTGAAGGCAAAGACAAGCAGTATGATAGCTTAAGGGGGTGACAGGCTCAAGTGAATGGGAGTGAGGTTTTTTTTTGTTTGTTTGTTTGTTTTTTTGTATTTTAAAGGAAGAGGGAGACCTGGGCATTTTTATAAGCGATAGAAATGGAGCCAATAGATGGGGAGAGATTAAAGAGTTGGACTCAAAGGGCCGGTCCCAGAGGAGAAAGGAGGGGAATGGGATAAAGGGCACAAGAAGAGGGGGTGTCCTTGTCAAGGAGAATCATTTGTTGGTGACAAGATCCTTGTGAGATTGGTGTTATTATCTTCATTTTACAGATGAGGAAACAGAGGCACACTGAGGTTAAGTGACTTGTCTAGGGTTACCCAGCTAGTAAGAGTTTAAGGCAAGGTTCCAGTTCTTCCCGACTCCCAAGTCCAACACTGCACTTCACTCAGCTGCCTTGCTAAGCCCTCCCTTAGCAGCATCCTTATGAAGAAGGTAGTGATTGTTATCTTTTTGTAAATGATGAAACTGACCTTTGGAGGAGTCAAGTGAGTTTTCCAAGGTCACACAGCTAGAAGGTACTATGGCCTGAGTTCTTCTGATGCATGTTTAGTCCTCTTTACTTAGTATACTGTGCACGTCTGCACCATTCTATGTCCAACCCAGTGGTTTGTTCCTGTGACTGATGTCTGGAGTCCCCTTTGGGGGAGGTTAGTGCACTTGGAAAAATCTGGAATCCTAGAGTTTTGCCATAACATGTACAATAAAAAATGGTACCCTCAGAGTCTATATGTCTGGGATTGCTTTTCCTTAGAGTGAATTTTTAACTTGGAATTCCATCTGGAGTTTGTGTCAAGCAAGGATTACTGGCAGTGATGGCGATGGCGATTTGATTCGCCTTTTTGTGTGTTCTTCCAGATGCCTTAGGACAATCTGAAGATGCCCTCTGGGTCCTTTGCTTTGTAGTCAGCATATCCCTGGTGATTCTGGTACCCTCAACTGCCTCATTGAGGGTCCCCTCCCCCTGACAAGTCATCCATTGTCCTCTAAGCATCCTGCCTGCATCATGGAAGCCCCCGATGCTGCTGTGGCATCTCTGATTGACTTTGACAGCGAGCCCTCCACGCTGGTTGCCTCTGAGTCACCCCCTTCAAAACCCCGCGATGGAAGCGGCTCCCTTGGTGACGGGGCATCAGAGAGTGACACCACAGAGTCGGCGGATAGCGAGAATGATATGGCGGAGTCCCCAACTCACCCGACCTGGGACCATTATCACCGCTCTTCATCCAATGAGTCCTTCTCTTCCAACCAGAGTACAGAGTCAGCCAAGGATGAGGAGGCTGTGGGGCTCCGGGAATTTATGCGGAACTATGTTGAAAAGATCTTCTCTGGAGGGTAAGAGGACAAATGTATTACGGGTCAGTGTGGAATTCTGGATTAAGGGCCATAATTCTGGGATGGAGTAATGATGTTACTAAGTCACTTCATTTCTCTATCCCTTTGTTGGTAAACTGAGGAAGAATACTCTTGTTCTTGATGAAATTTCAAGGTTGCAGGGCAATTTGGCATCCAGGGTTTGTGGGATCCTCCTTCTTGTAGGGAGGATTAGAAGGCCATCCTTGACTTACTTGCCTTTTCCTCTTTCAGAGAAGACTTGGATCAAGAAGAGAAAGCCAAATTTGGAGAATTCTGCAGCAGTGAAAATGGGAAAGGTCGAGAGTGGTTTGCCCGCTACGTGAGTGCCCAGGTAAGCATCAGAGGTAGGGGAAGGGGTGCCAGGGGGATGGGCTGCCAGGTTCATTGGGCTTAGCCTGACTGCCCCATGCCAGGAGGAGGGAGCCTGTGGGCTGGTGCTGTGGGAGCTCTTACAATGCTCTTTTAAGGAAAGCTGCTCACAGCCTGGCCCTCTGGTTATCATGAGGAGACTGATCTCTGCCTGCCTCTTTTTGGCCTTTTTCCCCGACAGCGCTGCAATTCTAAGTGTGTCTCAGAACCGACTTTCTACCGTCTGGTGCAGTCCTTCGCGGTGGTGCTGTTTGAGTAAGTTGGGCGGCTGGTGATGTCATCCAATGCCCCCTCTTTCTGCTATGCTCTCTGGTCTGTGTTATATGAAAACTCAGAAGGGGCAGGTTTCAGGATGCTGCTAGCTATTACTGGCACACAGCTGGAGGTCAAGGGGAAGGAGACCCACAAAGGGGACCCAGAGACACGGATTCTAGTCCTGAGTCATTGCTACCGTTTGGTTCGTCTGCAAAGATGGTGGTGGTAGCTTATCCTGGATGAGAAAAGGAGAGTAAGTACAGTGTCCCAAAAGTCTTGGTGCCTTTTAAAAAAATGCTCTTAAGGCATAAAACTGCATTAAGACTTTGGGCACCCCAAGTACTAAACAGCAGTACCCATATGGTACTGCTATTCTCTATTCACGTCTCAATAAATCTCTGGGAAAAAATGTAACTATAGGACAAAATCAGGAACTCTGGTGGGGTATTCTTTTTTCTCACTACTTTACAAACTGACCTCAATTTGAAGTCCTGTCCTAAGTCAGGAAGCTTTCACAATTTCGGCTATATGTGGGGGTGTGTGTGTGTTCGTGTGTGTGTGTGTGTGTGTGTGTGTGTGTGTGTGTGTGTGTGTTATGTAATTTTGTTTTTTACTAGCCAGAGACTACCTTAATTCTCCTAATAGCTCCACTTCAGCTCCTTTTTGAAAGTAGGTGTGGTATAAAGCCCAGGAAACAGCCCATCATAAACTCCTCATTGCCCCAATAACAGTTCAGTTGTTCTGAAGGCCTGAAGTCAGGAACACTCATCTTCTCAAGTTCAAATCTGGTTTCCAACACTCACTAGCTATGTGACCTTGGACAAGGCATTTAACCTGTTTGCCTCAGTTTCCTCTTCCGTAAAATGATCTGGTGAAGGAAATGGCAAACCACTCCAGTATCTCTGCCAAGAAAATCCCTAACAGGGTCATCAAGACTCAAACTTGTCACCTGAGTCACCTAAGCAGAATGGTTAAGATCAGCTTTTCTCTGCTGCAGAATGAGAAATCTTTACCTGACAGTGGAAATCACAGGGTAGAAACAGCTGGGGTGTGAGTAAATTCTTCTGGGAGAAGCACTCACACTAAGCAGTGATTACATGCAGTTGTGCTGCATTCTTCCTGAGCAGAGACCTAGAATTTGTTTCAATTTCCTGTTGTGAAGGGCTTTATACTGGGTACCCACCCAGCCTTCAAGCAAATGGATGCTTTATAAGTGTTATTTGGTGACCTTAGACAGGCATAAATCTTTCTCCACCAGTATCAATTAGTCTCTGCAGGAGGCTTTCACCCCAACAGGCTTGTCAAATGGATTGGGGTGGGGAGGGGGTGATGTGGAAGGGAGAGCCTGGAAATTAGGAGATTTGGGTTCTAGTGCCATCTCAGCAATTAACTAGCTGTGTGACCTTTGGGTAAGGACTCACCCTTTCTGGCTTCACCTTCCTCATTTGGAAAATGAGGCTATTGGATTGGCACTCCTTCCAGCCCTGTTTAACTTAGGAGTTGTAGGGTTCAGAACCTGCTTCGCTTGCTTACTACCCATGTGACCTTGGTCAAGTCATTTTCTCTCTGGGCTATAGTTTCTGCCTTCCTAAATGAGGAAGGTGGACTAGACCTGAGCCTCCTTCTATCACTGCTTATATAAAAGTATTCTAGGGATGGTCCTCTGTCATGGCAAGGATAGAACCCTGAATCTTGTCTGTGGAACCTTGAACTAATCACCTAATTGTGGCAAAGAGACTTTTTCTGAGCCTACTTGCTTTTTTTTTTGTTTTTTTTTTGTTTGTTTTTGCTAGGCAATGGGGTTAAGTGACTTGCCCAGGGTCACACAGCTAGTAAGTATCAAGTATCTGAGGCCAGATTTGAACTCAGGTCCTCCTGACTCCAGGGCTGGTGCTGTATCCACTGTGCCACCTAGCTGCCCCCCTGTGCCTGCTTTCTAAGAGAATCTCTTTGGGGGTTAACAGAAACATGTTTTAGAGGGCTGTGGGCAAGGTAAAGTAGCCTAGGGATTCACTGACCTCTCTCCTTTTAGGTGTCACCAGATGGATGATTTTGGACCAGCGAAGAATCTCATGACCATGTGTTTCACATACTACCACATTGGTGAGCCATTGGGTTTTATTTTCTCTGGGATTTGAACAATTATTAAAAGTCCTTCTAAGCCTTGTAAATTTGAAGGTTGTTGATGACTTCAGTGCACATGATTTCTTTCTCTCCGGTTCAAGCAACATTAAGCATGTATCCTGGGCAAGGAACTGAATATACATAACAATCCCTGCCCACGGGGAGTTTACATTCTACTAGAATGTTAAATGACTTTCCCAAGGTCACATCCAAAATAAGATTGGGACCTTGACCTCCTGACCCAGTCCATTCTTTTCCATTGTACACTTTGCCAGCAGAAAGACCTGTTTTCTTAGCTCTAGAATATTTGACAGGCAGGAGATCTGGGTTCTAGTCCTGGGTATCTAACTAACACACAGTATAACATTGGACAAGTTGCCCTCAGTCTCTGGGCCTCACACTTCTCATCCATCAAATAGAAATTTGAATTAGATGATCATTAGGGTCCCTTCAGGCTTGATAATTCTAATCAAGTGATACATTTATTTATTACACACTTATTGAACACCCACCAAGTACACGGCCTCATGCTAAATACTTCTTTTGAGGTGATTGCAAAAATAAATAAGAATAATATAAGTAAAAATAAATAAATCCCTGCCTTCAAGGAGTTATAAGAGTGTGGTAGAGATAAAATAACTGTAATACTTAGCTCTAAGTCATTCCCCAACATGGAGATGTGACTGTAAATCTGTCATTAGATCTCATAATCTTTGAGCCCCAAATTGGGTCCCACCATTTGTCACCGCTTGAATTGTTGGTTGTAGTGGAAGTATGGCGGGTCATTGTTCAGTCGGGGTCCATTGCCCATCACCTGGAATAAAAAATTCTTCCTGAATAACCACTGTATGCAGGAGCCTTAGATAAGAATCAGTCCCATGTAAAGAAAGCCAGTCACTGTGCTAAATGCAGAGAATACAAATAACAAGCAAAAAGAAAGACAGTTCTCACCCTTAAGGAACTTAGATTGTAATGGGGAGAAGACAAAACTTGGGAGGATAAGGAGAAGCCGAAGGGACCGGGCAGGGATAGAGAAGGTTGGGAATGGGAGTACATCCTGGAGAAGACTGAAGCCGTGGCTGGTCTGGTAGTTTTCTTAAATGGAGGTTTTTGGGAGAAGCAATCCAATCAGAGGCCAGAGCATGGTGGGTACTTCCAACGGTAAATTCTATGGCTGGAGTAAGGCTTCAGGATGAAGAACTGAGGCATGGTAGAGGAAATCAGGAATATGGCCTGGAGAGGAATGGGGAATCCACTGAATATCCCCTAATTTAAAAATAAAAAGATTTAATTTAACAAAACGTGGCTGCCACCTCTGACAGTAATCACATCTGACAACGTATGTGTCACCCTTGGCCCTTCCCCTCTCTACTGAAATCGAGAGTGTTCATTGTAATTACTCTGAATCATCAGCACGTTACGTCATTTTCCTTTACATTATTATGGTTATTGTGCACATGGGTCCCTTGATTTTCCCTTTATTGCTCCTTTTCTTCGCTCTGAATTATTATTTTAAATAGCTTTTCCTACACTTATCCAGATGCCTCATTTGCCTTTTGATGGTGCAATAATATTTCGTTACATTTATAAAGTATGATTTGTTCAGCCATTCCCCAACTCAGATAGGTACCTGTTTTGTTTCCAGTTTTTCGGTATCATGAAGAAGATTACTATATTGTATAGTACATACAATCTTTCTTGTTATCACTGATTTCCTGGGGCATGAGGATTATGTAGAAAAAGTTCATTGTCCAGAGAAGCGAAACACATAATTTGAGTTGTTTTTTTTTTTTAAGGGAAACTAATGGATACACTGGTGGGACATTTCAGGATTAAGAAAAATAACCAATGAGCAAGTTATATGCCTTTGACCTGTCTTTTCTGTGAAATAAGCCCTAAGATTATCCGCTGGTGGGGAGGTGAACCAAGGAGGTGAGACCCACTCACTAGAGGGTATGGAAATACAAGATCCCCTTGCTAGGCAGTGAAAAAAGTCCCCCTTGCCACGAATGTATGACCTTCCCCAAGTCTATTTCTTCCTGCAATATTGTCATAAGTGGAGTCTAAGGCCAGTTCCAGAGCATCAAGAGTTGTCCTGGTGTGTCCCATGGAATGGAAGGTCCCTGCTCTGTGGTCATAGAATAGAATAGTAAAACGATGGGGCTTGAATTTGAATGATCTACAATTCCTTCCATCTTCCAGCCCCCAATCTTATGATTCTCTAAGGTTTAGCATTCTCATTCCATACCTGTCTTTTATGTGGTGCAGAGGTCTCTTTATTTGGAATCTGTTGGAGCTCAGGTCCACATTGCATTTCTGTGGCTTACCAGCTGGGCGATCGTGAGCAAATCACTCCCCCTTTCTGGGCCTCAGGGGCTGGCCCTGAAAAATGAGGAGGCTGGACAAGGGTACTGTCCAGCTCCAAATCCTTCAGTTCTACTGCCCCCTGCTTCTCTAGCCAGGGAGATTTGGGAATCTTCCTGATACTCTGTATACAAGCTAATAACCTTATGGAACCATTTGGAAAATGAAAGAAAGTTGGGTGGTTTTTCACTTCTTCCTCTCACCTCTTTCCTTTGTGCATCCTTTTAGGTGAGGATTTTTTTTTAAAGGTTCTTTTTTTTTTTTGGTAGGAAAACCTCACATGCTACCCCTGGAGTCCAAGGAGAAACCTGCAGGCAGCATTGACTCCTACCTGAAGTCCGCTAATAGCTGGCTGGCGGAAAAGAAGGACATCGCAGAGCGTCTGCTGAAGAACACGTCCGCAAAAACGGAAAACGTGAAAGGCTTCTTTGGAGGCTTGGAAACCAAGCTGAAGGGACCACTGACCAAGAAAAATGAGTAAGTATTGCCCTAGTTTTCTGCTTGTGAGCTTTATTTAGAGAACTTGGTCATGTGGGTTTGTCAAACCTCAGGGAAGATGCTGTTTGCTCCTTGTGTGCAATGTGGAGGAAAGCAGTGGGATGCTTTGTTCTTGATCCACAGCCTAACGGGGTGAATCTTCATTAGATCTTGGTGGTCTTCAGTACCTGCTCACGACAAACCTCGTTTCTAGACATAAGAAATGTGTTGTCCCTCTAACTCAGGTGTTTTAACCTTGGTCATAGATCCTTTTGGCCATCTGGACCCCTTCTCAGGATAATATTTTTAGGATGGCAAAGGAAACCAAATATATTGTAATAGAGTTATTGAAATATTTTGTAGAAACACAAGTTCAAAGACCCCAGGTTAAGAACCCCTGCTCTAAATGTTCTCAGAACAGCAGAATGGAAGTGAGCTCAGAGTGAACCTAGTCTCAGCCATTCCTGAACAGACAAGTGGGTGTTCAGATTCTGTTAGAAGGGCTCCAGTGATAGGAACCTCACTACCCATCAAAGTAACTCACGCCAATTTGAAGGTAGTTCTAATCCTTAGGAGACCAGTTCTGAATGTTAAAATTCATTCTAAATCTGCCTTCTGGCAACCTTCCAACCTGGTGTCCATAGTTCTATTTAATGTGTATTCTGGAGTCAAACAGAATAAGTCCGAACAAGGCGCTTAGGTAGCTCAGTGGCCAGAGCATTAGATTGGGAGTCAGGAAGAGCTGAGTTGAGATTCTGCCTTAGATGATTACTAGCTACGAGCCTTGGTTTCATCTGTAAAATGAAGAGGTTGGACCTCTGTAGGGTCCCTGCCCCCTCTAAATCTGTGATCCTATAATCCTCTGAAGCAAATTCCACTTTCATATAATAGCCCTGTAATGACCTTGGACAAATCTCACTGGGCCTCAGTTTTCTCATCTGTAAAATGAGGTGGCTTATAATATCCCTTCCACCTCTAAGTCTGTTATCTCTGATTTGAACCAGATGGTCAACAAAGTCCCTTCCAGCTCTAAATCTGTGACCTATGATGTTTGGGCTGGATGGCCATTGAACTCTTGTCTCTCAGATTCTATGATTTGGATGCATAATTCACTCTGAGAGAACTTTTTTTTTTTTAGGAGATGTGCTTGTGGACTCCCAGGGAGTACATTAGAAGTTGGAGGAGGTAACTAATATAAGACCTCCCTCACAGGGCTGCCAGTGCATTAGTAGGAAAGATTATTGATGTTAAGAGCATCTTAGCCCTTGGCTTCATTTTCACTACTGATGTTTGGGGATCCAGTGACTTAGACTGACCAATTAATGTTTTCAAAAATTGGAGAAAATGGTACCACTAGGAAGCTTAGTGTTTTGGAGCAGGTTGGCTCTTTTTTAAGTTAATGGTCACTGTGGTTTCTTTTTCCTTAGGGAAGATGAAGATAAACCGAAGGAAAAGCAGCAGAAGACTGGTGAGAAGTCCCCTGCTTCTATAAATTCTCTTTCTTAGTATCCCAGAGTGCAGGGCAGAGGCAGGCAAGTAGCTCCCTGTAGCTTATATTTGATGCCATAATATATTAAACAATATAATATGTGAAAAGTATTTGCAAACCTTAAAGTACTATGTAAATTTGAGCTATTGTTATATGATGGGCACTTTGGCACTGAGGTCCCCTCTTGACTCTCTACTGAAGAGGAAGTTAAAGACCAGTGTTTCAGCGGAAAATCCATAGGGCTACATAATCCTTTTGCCCTGCTTTCGATAAGACCTTACTCTTTTGCTACTTGGTGACCTTAGTTTGAATTTTAAATCAGCTTTGCCAACCCAGTGTATCATTGGACACAGAGAGGATAATGGAATTATGGTTAAATCAACCCAGTTCATCGCCTTTCTCAGAAAAACTCCTTCATATGGATGCCTTGCTGGCAATGGCAATGGGTTAGTAGTATCATTGTCTTCCATGCCAGAAGACAGTGTCATCAGATAGACAAGTCATAGACGGGTGATTCTGGTTGTGGTTGAAGACTTCCTTCTTCTAATGGTGATGGGAAAGGTGTCATGGTAGAGCTCCATTGCCAAAGTGGATAAAACAATGAAACCACATTTAGGGCTACTTATCTGTTCCTGCAGTGACGATGTACAGCCCAGATGAAGAGAAGAAAGGGGAGAAGATCTATCTGTACACTCACCTGAAGCAGCAGCCTATCTGGTAAGCATTGGCCGGCTACTGCCTGGTCACTCTTGAAAGGAGGTGGCCCTTGGGATCTCCTTTAGGCTTCTCTTTTCTCTGGCTACTTGCTGCTTCCTGCCATCATCATTCCATCTCCCACCAGCACACTTTGGTATACGCTGTTGTTCATGCCTGGAATGCATGCCCACCTTTAAGAATTCTTTCCTTCCTTCAGAAGGTACCACTTCGTATGGGAAGCCTTCTGTTCACACAAACTCCACCTCCTTTCAGTCTTTCATGCTTTCTCTCAAATTATATTTGTGATCTACTTTATATGTTGTATTCCCTGGGAAGCTTCTGGAGAGAAGTTAATTTTATTTATAACATATTTATAGTCCGCTTTATATGTTGTATGCTCTGATAAGCTTCTGGAAAGAAGTTACTTTTTATTTATAATATTTATATTTATCATCTGCTTTATATGTTGTATTCCCTGGTAAATTTCTGGAAAAAAGTTCCTCCTTATTTCTGTTTGTGTCTTACGTATCACCAGTGCATCACATGTAGAAAATGCTGCAGAAATACTTCTCGAGTTAAAGATTGATGGATAGAGGAGGTGTAGAGCAGTAGAAAAATCGTGGACTATAGAGTAAAATGACCTGTGTTGGAATCCTGACCTTAATAGTTGAATAGCCGTGTGTAAATCACTTAATTTCTCTGGGGCTCAGTTTCCTCATCAGTAATATGAAGGAGTTGGACTAGATGAGGTCCCTTCTAGTCCTGTAATTCTATGAAGGAAATCATGAATCTGGAAGAAATTCTGTTCATCTTTCTGGATCTGGTAAATTTGCCTTATTTGAACTCACTAGCGGTGATCTTTCTAGCATTAAATCCTGATCCTCCTCTCCATCATTAATGAAACAACAACAAAATACCATCAGGTGCCCTCTTCTGAGTGAAGCATTTCTTGATCCACCCCCACTCACCACTAACTATTAATGTCCTCCCTCCCAAACTATCTTGTATTTTGCTATTTTGTATAGATTTATATTTATTCGCTCAATATTTATGTTATATATATGTATATGTATGTATGCGTATATAACAATAATAGCTAACATTTGTATAGTGCGTACTATGTGCTAGGCACCGTGCCTAGCACTTTACAAACATTATCACATTTAATCTTCACATCAACCCTAGCAGGTAAGTGCTGTGATTATCCCCATTTTATAGATGAGGAAACTGAGGCAAATGGAGGTTAAGTGACTTGTCCAGGATCACCCAGCTAGCTAGTAAGTGTATGAGGCCAAATTTGAACTCGAGTCTTCCTGACTCCAGACCTAGCAGCACTCTATCCAGTGCACCACCTATGAAATACATGTTTGTTATCTCCCTACTATGAATGTAAGCTTATTTTGAGTAGGGATTGTTTACATTCCTTGTGTTTATATCCCTAGTGCCTGGCAAACAGTAGGCATTTAATAAATACTTGATCGATTAGCAATGATGGTGCTTTGGGGCTGAGATTAGCATTACCCTAAGGAAGAGGACCTAGAGCCCTAACCTGCCATTTGGATTTTAGCTCTGTTTCTGATGTTGCAGAAGGCTACACAGGTATGAGGAGATAGTGGTCATTTACAAGTTTCTTGTGTCTTCTAGGCACACCCTGAGATTCTGGAATGCAGCTTTTTTTGATGCTGTCCACTGTGAGAGAAGGAAGAGATCACCTACTACCAGGTAGGAGCTAAAGATGGCCGTGGGCCCCTCACCCTTCTGTGGACATGGGGAGACCAGGGAAGGGAACCACTCTTCCCACCACCCCTTACTTACCACCTTCCTTGTCTGCTGTCCTGAAGACTGCCCTGAGTGTTGTAAGGACACACAGCTGAGAAGGGGGTGGGGTGTGGGGGCTGAGGTTGGTTGTCCAGAACCTGCATGTATGCTTTCTCTCCTGGGGTGGTCTTAGATGACTTGGCCTGACTCTCCCAGACAACTCAACATACCGCTGGATGACAATGTCCTCTTCTTTCCCCATCTCCCTCTGGACCCACTTCAGTCAAGTCTCACTAGGACACCAGAACCCAAAGGAGAAGCCATTGTAATGGAGTCTGCATAGTTTGTCGTCTTGTAAGGAGATGCCACCATGAGGCTTAACCTCTGTTGGAGCCCAGTTGCCATTTTGTGACTTGGCTTCTCCTTGGTTTGCAACATTAACAGGCCTTTTCAAGCTCCAATAGTAGTTTGCAATTTGGGAGGTTCCCTCTTTCTGCTTGTCTACATACAGAAGGTTGGCATTAACAGTGTCCTATAGTTGGAAGATGCTGGCATGAGAACTTTTCATGGTGTTACTGCTTCTGTCTTCCTGGGGGACACCATGAGGGAAGAGGGCAAGTGGACCTCCAGAAGCTGATTTATGGTCATCAGATTGAGAAGGACGTTCTGTGGCAAAGGGATAGGCAAGCGAGCATAAAAGGGGAAATGGAAAGAGGCCTCACAGCAATTTGCATTCATTCTCTGAGCCTCATTTTCTCCTTCTGTAAAATGGGGCATTGGGGTAGAGGATCCCTTGAATTCCTCTAACTTCCATTATCCTAAGGAAAGGCACCCCAGCCTGGCCTGGTGCCCGGAGTTTAAGGAGTAGTTCCCCCAAGCGAGTATTTGCAGAGAGGACAGGCCAATTTCAATGTCTTAAAAGGGAATATTAGTGCTTGACTTGCATGGCATGACCAGGCTGATGTCACCTGCTTAAGCAAGATCAATTTTCCTAGCAGAACTGCCCAACAGACAGTTCTTTCCTGTCCCCCAACCACTCCTTGGGTGGTTCGTATGGTGTAGTGGAAAGGGCCGCCATTCTGAAAGGAAATTTGGGTTTGAATCCCAGCTGTGCCACTTGCAAGCTGTGTGACCTTAGGGCAAATCACTTCCCCTCACCAAACCTCAGTTTCCACATTTCTCAAATGCGGAAGACTTGGGTTTGAGTCCTAGCTCTAACCCTTACAAGCTTGTATGACCGTGGGCATGTCATTGGACAGAAGAAGCAATTGGACTAGTGTAGCCTGTATGAACCCTCGCAGCTCTGTGATGCTATTACCTGGGGCCCTAGCAAGGATAGAAAGGGAGCGGCAATTTGTTAGCATAGCTTCTGCATACTGGACTACTGGGGCAGGGGGAGGGTTGGCATGGGAGTGGGCTAAAGCAGAGGCAACCCCAAACCCTTTAACTTGGGCATTTCCTTAACCTGCTGGGGTAAGTCTGGGAGAAGAAAAGGGGTGGGGGAGTACCCTGAAACTTCACTGCACTCTGTTTGGGAGAAAAATTATTATCGTGTTATGTCAGAAATAATGTTTAGGAAAAGTTTTGATAATTCGAAGGGCAGGTGGGGCTTTTCTCCTTATTGTTCAGCTATCAGGAAAGAAGTTTATTTTAAATATCCTGTCTCTTCCTATTTCTTTCTCTCTCTCTCTCCCCTTCTCTCTCCCTCTCCACCTTCTTTTTCTCTCTCCTTCTTCCCTTCTTCCTCCTTCTCTCTCTCTTTTCCCCTCTCTCCCTCTCTTCCCTCTTTCTCTCTTCCCCTTCCCTTTTTCCTCCTCCCTCTCCCCCTTTCCCTTTTCTCCTCCTATCTTCCCCTTCCCTTTTTCTTTCTCCATTCTCCCTCTCTTCTCTTTTCTTTCTCCCTCTTCTCCCCCCTCCTTCTCTCTCTCTCTCCTGTCTCTCTGTCTATAATAACTCATTCTTTTACTTGTTCTCTTTTTTTTCCATCCATTTATCTTGCATGATCTTAACACGTGCCCTTTGTTGACCCTGTTTCTGCTGCCACTCCAGAGGGAATGCTGGAGAGGAAGAGGAAAAGAGGTGTGTGTGCCCCGGGACTTGTTCCATTTGATAGTAACTTCTGATTCACTTTAAGGTCCTTTTCAGGGCAAAACCGAGGGGGTGGGTTGTGGGGCGGGGGAGGAAACGTGCATTTTCAGCTACTGTGGTTGTAACAGGCCCCGATGGAGGTCAGGAGGCTGCTTCCTGTAGCCGAGGGGACACTGGGGGAGACCAGGACAATGGCTGACAGACGGTGATTGCTAACCACTCATACTCAGCAAGGCTTACTTTGTGGGAGACCCTGGGGATGGAGAAGTTGGAGATGGTGGCCACAATTGGAAGGCACTTAGCCCTTTACCAACTGCCCGAACCCTGTGTAAAGCACCCACTCTTCCCCTCAGCAAAACCTTTAGCTCAAGGAATTGAGTTCTCTTCACGTTCTGTGAAATTTGGCCTCTGGTGGTTGAGAGGGGGGTGGGGCATCATAAACCCTAACCCTATGATCAGAGACAGAACAGTATAACAAACATTTATTAAGTGTCTACTGTATTCAGAGCCCTGTACTGGGCAATGAGAAGATGTAAAGTATAGATAAGACACAATAGATGCATATATGTCATTCTTTGTGGTATCCCCCCATCCCCCCATCCCCCCATCCATGCCTCTCAGCTTTCCCCATGTCATGGCTAGTTTGGGACTCTGAACTGGCTTGAGAAACTGTTTGGGTTGAGGGGAGGACATTTGGGGCTGTGGGAGATCAGTTGCTGCGGCTCTGATTTTGAATAAATCAGTTTACATCAGGGCTCCTTTTCTGAGTGGTTAGCTCCCTCCTGAAGCAAATCACATATTTTCTGCCGCATTCTATATCCACCACTTAACTAGCAGTGTGGCTTGGGGCAAGTCTAATCTCACTTTTCTTTCCGGGTCTTTGTTTCTTCCTCTCTAAAATAAAGGGGTGAAACTAGATTATTTGGAAGTTCTCATACTGTTCTGTCATTCTACCTTTAAAGTTTCCTTCTAACCCTAAGGTTCTGTGATCCTTCAACCTTTGACTCTGATTCCTTGGCCTTTTGACTGGTGGTGGTCCACCTTTTGGGGCTATGATCCTTATCTTGCATGCAGATAATGGACTCAATTTCATCTATTCTATACAGTGGGAAAACATTGCATAACCTAATAGTATGAAAATGATATTGGGGAAGAGGTGGAAATGATTGTTAAAGATGGGGAAGAGCATTGTGGTTGGGTGGAGGTGGGGAGGGAAATCAAGTGACCAGGGTCTGGGAGCTCTTGAAGCTTGGAGAATAGAACTGGTAAGGGGTGGATTGAATTTAAACTCCTTCCTGTTCTGGCTACAAAGACAAACATACCCTGCCTTCCTAGAGCTTATGTTCTACTACAGTGGGGATGGGGTGGGGTTGGGGGAGTGATACATGTAAGTCAATACAAAATAATTTTAGGATAATTGACAATCTAGAACACATTCAAACCAAATTTCTGAAGTGCATCGGAATATTTTATAAGACAAAAAAAGACCTACTTCTTCTGGTTGTCCCTCTCTATTTAAAAACAAAAAACCTCCTGTAACTAAAGTTTTTAAATTTCTATCTTTCAAACCCTGGTTAAGACATTTCCCCATTCTTCCTCATCTGTAAAATGAAAGGATTAGATTAGATGATAGCAAAAATCCTTTCCAGGTCTGATTTCTTTTTATAAAAAAATTGTTACTGTTAATTTTGCTTTTTAGTCTCTTCCCTTCCTTCTCCAAGAGAGCTATCTTTTATAACACAATTGTAAAAATTACAGTCAAAATCAATCCAGTTATTCCTTTTTATGACTCTGGCATGCTTTCTGAGACCTGTAGAGACTACCTAGCAGGGAAGGCAGGACAAAGGTTAGGTTCATGCTACTTTCTAAAGTTATACGATCTAGAAATTTGGGGGCAGAACTCTCCTCTTTCTTCCCTTCTCGTGCCTCTTGTGAAAGCCCCAGGAAAGAAGGGTAGATCCTTTCTTCTCCTAGTCTTTTTTGCTAGGAAGGCCTTTTGCATGGCATTTGAGCATCCCAAGGGCATCCTACCTGGCAGTGTGTGTACATAGCAGGTGTCCACACACACACACACACACGCACGCACGCACACACTCTTTGTGTTTTTTTTCAGAGGTGGAAAAACAATCCCTTCCATCCATTAATGAGAAGCATTCCCTTTCCTTTTGAGGGGAAAAAAAATTAATTTGTCCTTTTTCCTGATCCATCACCATTTTGTTCCTTCTTCATGGAATTGTATCCTCTAAGAAATTTGCCATAGAGGGAATGAAATGCAATCATCTTTGCCTTCCCTGAAACAAGGTTCTGTTCTGGTATGGACCCGGATGGGTATCATTTTACAGATTACACTGTTGCTGAAAAGCTGGCTTTTAAATTGAATTTCTGTAAATCCAATCATTTTCTCCATGACTTCCTCCTTAAAATTAGCAGTATTTTCCCAGAGAAAATGATTTTGGCTTCAGGGCAAAACTGAAGTTGTGCTAAGCACAGGAAGTATTTTAAAAATTGTATTTTTGAAGGGAAATGATCCTTTTTCTGATTGGGCAGCTGTGTTAGAGTAGAAAGAGCAGCTGAGAGTCCAAAGACTCAGGCATGGCCACTGACTTGTGTGTGACCTCAGTTTCCCCATCTATAAAACACGTTTGGCCATGTGATCTTAATGATCCCTTCTGCTACTGATAACTCCCAAGATCCACACGCTGGAACTTGAAATGCCATCTAAGAAATTTCATCATCTTGGGATCCAGACTTCGACAGGGAGAAGTGCCCTTTGTGGGGTTGCTTGATGGCCAATCTGTAATTCTGTCTTCAGCCCCAAATAAATGCTACTTTTTAAAAAGATCAGTTTTTAGAGATTCCCTCTAAATGGATTTGTATAGGTCTTTATTTATAGTCTAGGTGAAGTAGGGCATTAGGAGAGCTGGGTTTGAGACTAGGATTGGGCTCCTGGCCAGGATCTGGTGAGCTGTGTGCCCATGGGTTGGCCACTTCAGTTACTGGAGGGTCAGTTTCTCCAGCTGTAAAAATGGGGATAATGGTAACTTATGGCATTGCTGTGAGGAACAGCCATTGTAAAGCATCGTGAGAGCCTTTAGACTAGCCAGCTGGCTCAATCTTTTCATAAATCTGATGTCATCATTCTGGTGAATTTTTTTTGTAATTTTAATTTTTCAATGTGAATAGTCACCTGGTGTAAGTTACCTTGAATAAGGACACCTCTAGATTATCTTTTACTTCTGAGAAAGCAAATTGTTTTGAGTTTTCCTGTAATGGCCCCCATGGGAACTAAAGAAGTTAAGAGGGGAGGTGTCAGAGGAGGGGGTGGCATTTAGTATCCTCAGCTCTCTCTACTGAGAGACTCTAAACAAGGCTAAATTATACCTCTTCTGGGTGACCCAATGCCCCTGTCAGTTTTAGAGTCTCAGGAATTTAACCTCTAGCCTTAGCCATTATGGGAAGGGGGATCTATTTCCTGCCTAGGCTGATGGTAGTTCTGCTACAAGGTAGGAATTAAGACTCTTGTACCTGGAGCTTCCCTGCTATGGGAGGGAGGGGTGAACATTGACTGGAGCCAGCTGATGAGACGGGGCTCAGTGAGGCATCCCCAAGGTTACTTTATAATATCAGTGTCAGTGCCCCCAACAGCCTGTCTCTTGAAAAACAGTCAGGAGCTACCCAGCTCCTATGCTTAACAGCTATTTGACATTGGGCAAATCCCTTTCCTTTTCTGAGTCTCAGTTTCCTAATCAGTAAAATGGGGATAAAAATACTGGTCTTAATATCCCTGCCAGGATAGGTAAAGGGATGCTTTGAACATCTTCAAGGGCTGTCTCTAAAGATTTAAAATTGGTGGCATTATCATTTTGGGCAACTCCCACACTTGTGCCTTCTCCCAAGATAGTATCTGTCTCTACTCCGCTACCTTCTCAGTCAAACCTCACTCCCAAGATTGTTAAGCCTAACAGGGAGGTGTGTTCCGTGTAATAGAACTATCCCGTCAGCTCATTCACTTGTTACAGCGGTCTCCCCAGCAGCGGGCAGGGAAAGGATGGTCGGCAATTAGACCTTCATTCTCCTGTTCTTCCTTTGGTTTCTCCATCCTCTGCCTGCATCCCTCCTCCATGGCCCCTACTCCCTCAGACCATCTTTTCTCTCCTTTTCCTTTTATATTGATCTTAGCTCTTACTCAGTCTGACTCATCCATTGAGAACTTTATTTTTCTAGGGTAAACAGTGGGTTAAAATGTATTCTTCCTCCAAGCCTGCACCTGTGGTTCTCATTAGGGCAACAGCAGCCCTCCCTGGGAGCCCTTAATTCTTTGGGCCTGATACTCACTGCTTGCTGTTCATTAAGACAACTGAATAAAGCCCAGCAAGGCTGGAGCCACATTTCCATCTGGCATTATTAGGTTCTGATAGACAAAGGGAGATAAAGCTAAGAGATGAAGAAGATAAGTAGGCTTTTGACATCCTAAAACAATGTAGCTCAGTGGGGCAGCGGATAGAAGGTTGGCCTTGGTATCCAGAGGACCCAGGTTCAAATACTTACTAGCCATGTGACCCTGGGCAAATCACTTAACCTCTGTCTGCCTCAGTTTCCACATCTGTTAAACAGATATAACAGTAGTACCTACCTCACAGGGTTGTTGTGGGGATCAAATGAGATAATATATAATAATAATTATATAATACAATAATAATAAGGGGCTATATAAATCCTAGCCACTATTATCATTATTACTATTATTAATAATTATCATACCAAGAAAAAAATGCCATTCCCCACCCCCCCCCAGTCAAGTGCTTGGGGTTAACATTAGTAATTGATGAGGAGAAAGCATGGTGTGGTGGAAAGAACATTGAATATTTCGAGTCAGAAGATCAGAGTCTGTGCCCCAGCTTTACCCTTTACCATCTGTGTGACCTTGGGCAAGCAGTTAGGAGAGCCAAAGGATATTTGTCCATTAATTCCCTAACTAGATTACCCTCTCTGAGCCTCAGTTTCTCCATTTGTAAATCACACCCTCCATCCCCTAAAGTGAGGGAAAGCACTTTGTAAGCTTGAAGTACCACATAGGTGTGAATTATCCTCATTTGACACAATAGCTCCCTTTGCCTCTAGTAGGGGGATTCTTGGGAAAAGACACCTGATTCCTGCTCTTCTATCTCCTCCCTGTCCCACCTCCCCCAACCTGAATGCCCTTCTCTAGAAAGTATAAAGAGGAATTGAAAAGATATGAGGGTGGATGTCACTTGGAACCTCAGATCAAGGGTGTATCTTATAAAAGCACATTATAAAAGCAGTTGGAGTTTTCAGCACATTATACTCACCCTGCTAGAATCATCTTAAACAGGTCTCCAGGCTGTGCTGAACTAACATTTTATAATGGCTTTAGAATAAAGAATGTTTGTTTGACTCCTTTGGAGTGGGGGGGGGGGAGGGAGGGGTAAAGGAGATAAAAGCAGAGGGCAAACATTTGAAGAGTTGATTGGGTGTGGATCTGGGTCCACCCTGTGTTTGGTGTGGCCAGAGGAGGGCATAGTCAGAAGCCAAGTCTAGGAAAAATGAGCCGAAAATCTGACACATGATCTTGCTTCGACCTTGCAAAAGCTTATAGGCAATCAGGACATCTCTGTCTGTAGTTTAGGGGAGCCCCTAGCTTTCCAGCAGAAGGGGTTTCTTAAGCTAATGTGTTTTCTCTAAACAACTACAGTACAATTCAGGCCCTGTGCCTCTCTGTGAATCCTACTTTTTAGCTGGTCAGGGCAGCATTTGTTATATGCACAGGAAGTATGAAGAGCCCAGTAAATATTCACAAATCCGGGATCCAGGGGCCAGTAACAGTCTCCACCCCAACTGATTTGCCCTGTGTGTCATTGGGCCAATCGTTTTCCCATCTCTGAACTAGAGAAACCACCACCAGCTTGGGTCCTCCAAATTCATTTATAAATGGATGAGAAGAATGGTACGGCGTCTCTGCTGATTTTGTTGTTGTTGCTATAAATCATGATTAACACTAGAGGACGGGGGATTAGACTTGGAATCGGGAAGCCCTCTGACACATACTAGCTTTGTGACCCTAGGCAGCTCACTTTATCAGAGATTTCATGTCTGTAAATCTTAAGTCTAAGACTGTGAGTGACAGACAAGGGTGGAAGGAGTTTCCATGCTGGGAGTCTCCCACACTGTTAAATAGCAGGCAGCTGCTTGCTCTCCCCCGAAAAACAAAAATGACCCTTTATGTCAAGGGGATGCATTCACACTGGGATGCTGTGTACCCTGTAAAGTTAACAGTGGCCCCCCATGCACATTTACTCAATGCAAAGTGAAAAGATCTTCCATGGAGAGAACTGCCCTTTTTTTTTTTTGATGATTCAGGGGTGGGTGGGATTTCTGTGAATGCTGCTGGGGCTGTGGTTGGGTCTGTGGGTTAAGTTCTCCAAAAACCTGCCCTCTCGTTGCCTCCTGTGCTTGCAGGGAGAAGTGGTGCCACATGACTCAGGAGGAGCGTGATGACAGCCTCCGATTCAACGAGAACATCACCTTCGGGCAGCTTGGGTAAGAGAGCGTGGGGGAGCACTTGGTCACGAAGCAAATTTAAAGCACCTACTATGTGCCAGGTGCTGTGCTGAGCACTGGGCATACAAAGAAAGGCAAAAGACAGTTTCTGCTCTCAAGGAGCTCAAGATCTAGTGGGGAAACTCACTTTGCTTCCTGGTGCAAAAGGAAGATCCATTCCAACTCTAATTCCTAGAATTCTATGACTAAGGCCATGGCCTTATTAACCTTTGGATAACCTTAAGAGGCTACACAAGGAAGTGAATAGAGTGTGGGATAGGGGGTCAGGACGTCTGAGGTTCAAATCCTGCTGTGGACATTTACTAGCTGTGTGACCTTGGACAGGTCACTTGTCCCTAGGCTTTGGTTTCCTCATCTGAAATTGAGTGGCTTAGAATTGATGGTCTCTAAAGTCCTTTTTACTTAGGTCCAGACTGATGATCCTATGAACTATTTTTTTTTTTTTTTGCTGAGGCAGTGGGGTAAAGTGACTTGCCTAGGGTCACGTAGCTAGTAAGTATCAACTGTCTGAGGCCAGATTTGAACTCAGGTCTTCCTGAATCCAGGGCTGGTGCTCCATCCACTGTGCCATCTAGCTGCCCCCCTATGAACTATTAATATGCTGTGATTAATATCTATGATTTTGTTACGCTGTGTGACAGAATTAACTCTCTTGGTGCTAATAGATCCTTACCTCAGTTGGTTGAATATATATCAACCTTATATAATATATATGATCATTTATATATTCATTATACAATCATTTGCATTGCCCTCCTCCTGCCAAATCATAATTCACTAGCTAAGCCTCAGGTGATGAGAGTTTCTAACCGTAATTAAGCTAGCTTTTAAGTAAGTTAGACTGGGAACCCACTGAGATCAGGAACTTTTTTTTTGTATCACCAGCACTTAGCACAGTGCCTTGCACACAGTAGGTGGTTAATAAATGTTTACTGATTGATTGAAGAGCAAACACAGAGCCGGGTTTCAAGGCCTGTCCAGATTGACAGAAACTGCTTGAACAGACGCTCCTTTTGAACAGCCTTTGAGGACGTTGGAAACTGATGGAAGCAGAAATAGAGTAACCTGGGAATAAATTCATTAACTGCGTTCTGCGTGTAGATGGAATTCAGAAAGGGAGCCACGTGGTCTTCAGAGAAAGGTTCTACCTATCCATGCACAGGGGGGTTAGTGAGAAGCTCATCTTGCTTCTCACTGGGGAAGGGTGTAAGTGTGTAGGCAGGAATCCCAAAGGGTGTAACATGTGGTTTCCTTTCTCCAGCACATTTACTCACAACATGTTGGCTTTTGGGCTGAACAAGAAGCTGTGCAATGACTTTCTGAAGAAGCAGGCAGTGATTGGCAATCTGGATGAAGGTGAGGAGGCATGCCAAGTCTGTGATTGGCTTTGCTGCTGCTGCCGAGAAAGTGTATAAAGGGTTAAGGTGGGAAGTGAGCAGGGAACATGCAAAGGAATTTATGGACAATATCCCTTGGTTTTCCAGAACACTTGGCTAGGTAGGTTGTGCTGGGTTTTGTTTTCCTTTGAGCAGCTGAGACCTCATCTTTGGATACCTTTGTAAGGTAAAATCTTCCAAAGCTTCAACCTGAAGTCATTCTTGAGTCCTGTTAATTACCCTCCTTCCAAACTGCCTTATATATACCAGCTTTCTATATAGTGGTATTCATTTTAGATTTAGTATTCTGTATTTTTATATATTTTTCTTGTCTCCATGTTCATTGTGAATGGAGATTGTTTCATTCTTTGTACTTGTATCCTCAGTACCTAGCACAGTGCGTGGCACATAGTAGGTGTTTTAATAAGTGTTGATTATTAAACCTAAAATTAAATATCTATACTTTGTACATCCCTTGTGATCTGGCACAATGCTACCAGTCTGTTGGTCTACTGTGTACAGAGCACTGGGCTGAGTGCTAAGGAAAGTGAAGTTTACATAAGATTGTCTCTACCCTCAAGGAGCTTACAATCTAGAAGTCACTTAATATTGAAGGTTGAATGCTTAGTAGCTAGACCTTGGACCTCTGGATCAGTGGTGTCAAACCTGGCCCACTAAACCATAATAAGGCTCCCCAAAGGTCCATATTGACTTAGTTTCAATGTAATATTATTTATGTTTTGTTATATTTTATTTATTTTGTTAAGTATTTCCCAATTATATTTTAATCTGGTTTAGGTGGCATGTAGTTAGGGATCAGCAGGTATCTGTTGACCTATACTTGCCAAAGTTTGCCATTTATAAATAGCTGCCTCCTCTTACCATGTGTCTCCGTAGCCATTCCACCCCTCCCTGATGCCACATACCATCACAAAATGTCTCCCCTGGCTTTCTGTCTTGGAAACTTCTTCCCCATTCCGCCCCCCCCAATTGCTATGAGAACCATCACGAAAAAGCCTTTTTGATGAGCAGAATAAGGGAAGAAGCAATACAATACAGAAAAAAAGAAAATCCATTTTCTAATAAACCATTTGCAACAGCAAATGTGGTTCTAATGAGGATAGTAGCTAGCTTGTTTAACTCTTTAAGCATTAAGCACCTACTGTGTATTCATCCCAACCCCCTTAATTATTTAATGGTAAAGAGGCGCCTTGTCTGTATCCCAGACTTCCATCATCATCATCATCATCATCATCGTTTTCCTAGAGAACCCTCCCCCCCAATATACTTTCTCTCTTTCTCTCTGTGAGGCTCTAATATAAGCTGACATTATAACATTCTTTCTTCCAGAGCAGTACAAGCTACTGAGTGACCACATTGAGCAAATGGCTTTTGAGTAGCTGTGACGAGGGTGGAATCTGCAGCATCCCCCGAGGGAGGAGGACGGGTGGAAGTTTCCTCCCCAGAACATCCAGAAACAACAACCAGCTCCCAGCACCATTGCGATTAACCTGCATGACTGTCCGCCATCCTTAGAACCCTGATATGTCAGTAGACCTAGGAGTGAAGAAAAACTCCTGTCCTTTCCCCTTGCCTCGTCCTCCCTTGGGTGTGTTCCATAGCCATGCACCAGAGACACTCCTCAGTTTCTATGGCGAAAGCAGAATTGATGAGCTATCCGTACAGACCCGAACATCCCCCTGTAAGAGGTAAAGACAAAAGAAGATGAAAGGAGGACTGTTTGCACAGGCAGTCCTGAAGGCCTCTTGCTAGTTGTTGGCTATGAGACTTTGGGAAGGGTCATCGGACCAGTACAGCTGAATGCTGGGAACTGGGGGGCGGGGGAGTGGGTTTGGCAGGAATGTAATGCATGCATGACCATGTAGCCATAGGACTGTAGAATGTTGTAGAAAGGGCCTTCCAACGTAGATTAGTAGAACTGGAAGGGCCCTTTGAGATCATCTAACCCAATCCCACATTTTTCAGATAAGGAAACTTGTCCCAGAGAAAGGAAGCGACTTGTTATATGAGAAGTTAATGCAGGCCTAGGAATCTGAGGAGTTAAGTCCTGGTCTCTTGATCTGTTAGTTATACCTCAGTGTCTCTTTCTGTACAGATAAATCTATAGTCTATAGGTTTGGGGTATTGCAGCTCTGATTCCCACTAACATGAAAGATAAGTCAGGGTTGGAGACCTGGCACCCTTTTCCTCAGGGCCAGAGATGTTGGTTCTTTCATGACCAGATAGATGACATCCTATTCCATGTTCCTCCTCTTTGCTTGTTCCCTCTTCTTCCCTTTGATAAGGATGGGGAGGTCATAAGAAGAAAGGACAATCTTCTATTTTGCTGAAACAAGGGCAGAAAATTTTCCTTCCTGATTACATTAAGAAATTGGACCTGGGGCTAGCATTAGAAGAGAATTACAGTTAGATGTGTGAATGAGGCAGTGCTCTGGAGATGCAGCAGGATTTGTGCGGACTTATTTGAGATGAATCCTATCAACATAGATGGGTCTGTGCCAGACTGCCTTGGAAGCTCTCAGGGTCAGCTGCTCCCTTTTCTTTTGTACATGACATATTGAGGGCAGCTTGTGGCTGCCTGCTTCGAAGGAGATGCAAAAGAGGAGGTCTGGTCTTCTGTTATCTGGAGCCTGCTGCCCTTCCTGAAACCAAACATCGATGCAATTTTCCTTTTTGGGCACAACCACCTTTCCCCACTCCCCCTCAAAAAAATATATAATATCATATATTGATATATAACACAAACTGTTCAGTATTAAATTGATCTCAGCGTGAGATGGTTAAGGGACAAGCAGCTTATGGTGGAGCTTGGGGAAGGAGACCCCCTAAGAGGACCCTGTGGAGCAAAGCTTTGTATCTGAGCCAGTGTGTATATGGAATAGATTCATAAGTTGTGACCCTGATTGCTGTGGTTTTTTTTAATGTTTTCTTACAGTATTCCAGTTATTACTTACAAAATTCAGCCTATGGGGAAAGTCAAGAGCTGATTTTATAAGTAAGTGCTCTCATTGGCACATAAATGAAGCCAGAACTAAGTGTGTTTACCCATATCACAGAGCCTCAGGCTCACCAGAGCTAGGAGAGGAGAGGAAGAGAGTATTAATGGGGATCTCTGCTTTCCTGGCAGCTCATCTGTCCTGCTTATCACCTCAAGCAGCTTGAGTCTTATCATTTCCTTCAATTCTCTGCAAATGCCAGCTAGTCCCATATTTATTCCTTGGAACCTATGGCTTCCGGCTTCCAGCTTCTCATTGGTTTCCACCAGAAACACCAGATCAGACTAAGGTGCACAATGTATTATTATTTTTAAAGTCATTTAGCTGGTCATATCTAAGGTGTAAGTTCCCCCAAAACCTATTCTGTGTTTCCTAGTATAAATATTTCTAGTCAGAACCAACTTTTGTCTTTTCGTGGTTACAGAGCTAGTTATCCTCAATCATCCTGTCTCCTTCCCTTCAGAGAGGGTTCTTTGTAGAAATTAAGAAAAAATAATTTTGTCTGGGCTCTTTTCTCCTTTCTCCTCCTTTTCCAGCTTACCCTCCCTGACCTATTATCACTTCCTTTTGCAACTTCCAGTGATATACACCCCCTTCCCCCAGCCACTTCAACCCCTAGTTACCTGCCTGTGAATGCAGTGGATAAATGACTGATTGACACTTTTCAGCTCATATTATCTAAAAATGATCATCATCCTTGGCCTGGTGAGCCCAAAACAAATAGCACAGAGTGAATGAGCAATAAATAGGATGTATCTCTTGGACATTGGGTGACCCTAAGAAAGGGGCTTACACAAAACATGCCTGATCTGAATGTATTATTTGTATGATTGGTCACCTCCAGGAACTAGATGATGGGGATTTGTGTTTTCTTTTCAATGATGTCACCATTTAAAAAGCCATGTGTGATACTGTTGAGCCAGTCTCATTGTTGGGGCTGCCATGAAGGGTACTTGTGCCTATGATTTGGCCTAGACAGAGTACCAAGTCCACCACAGAGTTCCACCAATGGTAGGGAATCCCCCAACAAATCACCAGGTCCCTGCACTCCCCCACATCTTTTTTGAAACTTCTTTCTTAATGGTGTTAACTCTCACCTATGCTCTATGCACAATATCCCCACCTATAAAATGGAAGTAGGGAAAATAGTCCCCAAGATCCCTTCTTTAAGATTCTCTGAGTCTTGATCTGTTTTCCTTAGAAGAATTGCTAGTTATAGAAGGATCATCGGACCAGTACAGCTGAATGCTGGGAACTGGGGGGCGGGGGAGTGGGCTTGTTGGGAGTGTAATGCATGCATGCCCATGTAGCCATAGGATCGTAGCATGTTGTATAGCAATACCTTGGCTTTCTGAGGGTCTTTGCTCTGAAATGCTCCCCCAACGAGCACTTTGTGTCCATAAGCACATTTTAAGGCAGGTCTTAGCTTCTCCTATTAGACTTCTCTCCTAAGGCTCCTTCAAGGGAGCCTGCCATCAAGAGGTTGGGGGCACTAGGGAAGGTTATTTTTTTGGAAAGGAATGGATTTTGGACACCTCTTCCTGCTTTCCTTTGCATTTCACGATGACTTCCATCATTTATTGTTTTTCAATAAAGCCTTCCAAGTTCCTTTACCTTAGTATGTTTCCAGGCACATCTTTCAAAATTGATTTAAGGTAGAGGAAAAAGAGAAGGCTTGCTCTTGGCTGCTACTTCTGTCAGATCCTTATAAGATATAAATCAGATTCCAAGAAGCTACAGTGGAACAAAGCGTAGGGTGGGAAAGATTCATTACCTGATTGAGCCCATGCTTCTGGATAGTGCCAAAGGACAGGTGGGATTTGTACAGGATTTGAACTGGGTCTTCCTAAAGTCCCTCGAAAGCCCATTCTAGCTCAAACTGTATAATCCTCTGCTGGCTGCTTGCATGAGCTAGGCTGTACTGACTGCTGGGAATCAGGCTTTCCTTGAGCATGGCTATTTATTACTCTGCTGCTGTTCTATACAATAGTCTGAGAGTAGCACAGAATTTGCTGAACTGCAGTGTCCTACCTAGCATCCCTCTGTCTCCTGTAATGTCACCCAGGAATCTGTGATTCTGCCTCTCCCTCATTCATCCTTAGGCAAAACACAAACCAAGATGATCCAAAGAGTTGCCCTTTCTTGGAATATACAAGGGTGCACAGATTTCAAATACATTATTTTGCAGAGAAGCAGACTGCATCTATGTTTTAGGATGAGTGGAAGTGATAACACATTGTTGCAAAACTCAGGGACATTTGGTTCAGTGTGAGAAGCATCCGATAGTACTTGAGATGAAGTCCTTTCTGAGGGCAAGAAAGAATAGCCTTCAGAGCTCAGGCTTTGCCCCTTTCTGCCCAGAAACCTCAGTACAGACACTAGCAGTACAAGATTTTTAATGTCTGACCTCGGGGTCCGTCTTTGTTCCAGCCAATATAGTCAACTCTTCCAGAAAGCACAACCTTATCCAATCTATACATGACATACTTATTCAAAAGAGGTTTTTAAAAATATGTATGTTGTAGGATGTATCTGTATTGTACTTACATTGTAGGATAAGTGTGTTGTGTGGTTGGTTGCCAAAGTGGCATTTACCCCTATACGTTTCTTTCAGACTTGTTTTACTGATCAGATGAATGGCTTGATCATCTTACCAGGGAGTCAAACCCTCATGATGTCTTAAGCTCAATCCATGGCTGATAATGCTAAAGTGGCTAGTAGCAGGGTTTTTCTTTTTTAAAAGGAAAGGAGATGGCTTGAGTTAAGAAAGACGTTTGGGGCTTGGGGGAAGGTAGGACTATTTCTGCATTCTGTGTTGACATTGCTAAGCTTGGAAACAGTATGCAGGCCTTTGAACCAGCTTACTCATTTAGGTGGGTGTGTTCCAGGTCATGAAAAACCAGAGGTTGACTGCCTTCTCTGGTTCTTAGTCAATCAACAAACATTTATTTAAGGCTTACAGTGTGCCTAGAAATGTGTTAGGTGTCAGGAATTTTAAAAAAAATGCGAAAACATGGTCCCTGCCTTCAGAAAGCTTACACTGCACTTCCTCAAATTGAAATTCCATAGAAGGACTTAGTCTCACATGCCCTAGGCCCTTGGATTGAAGGGATCTGTTTTCAGGATTTTTACAAGGCCAGAGCCTTGTACTGTTACTGGCTTTGATAATCCATCGATCCCATGCTTGATTCAGAGAAAGAACTAAGTGTGTGTAGTTGTTCAGTATTCCAGAACAAAACTAGTCATAAAAGGCCAGGAAGAGTATTTTTCAAAATCTGTAAAAATGAGGATAATGCCTGCGCTGTCTCACAGGATTGTTGTGAGGGTCAAATAGGAGAACAGATATGAAAGAGCTCGGTGAACCAGAAAAACAGTAGAAGCACAGTACTTTAGTCTAGGTTTTGCATTGGCCATTTTTAATTTCCTTTTAATTTCCCCATGCTTCTTTGTAAGATTCAGTCAGCTCACACCAATCACTCTTCTATATTTGTCTTACTTCCAACCTAAATGATTGTCTTGGAAAAATCCCTTCTTCCCAGCTCAGTTCCATGGAGCCTAGTTTGGGGTGAAGGGGCATTTTGGAGGCTGCAGATGCCTCTGATTGTATACTAACTCATTTTCCAGGTTCAAATTTCCCTGAGTCCCAAGGCTGACTTTGACTTCCAGCAATACGAATAATAAATCAGAGCCTACCCTCTGCTACCTGGAGTGACTGGGATTCGAGTGTGCTTGTTAATTAAATACATACTCAGGTTCATGGAAAGTCACCTATGGATGACTGATTTTCAGAGTATGAGAATAAGAAGTCACTAAAACCACATTGAATGCTATTGAATTTTTGACTTGAGATCTGGGGTCATTCAGTGCTGTTATTTTGAGTCCCATTGTGGACAGGTGAAAATATAATGTAATATGGGTTAATAGAATGCCAGCACAGCCTGTCTTCTCCCTGATCAAGCATTGACAACTTGCCCAAAGCCACACAGTTATATCACCTACCAAGTCAAGATAGCACTGTCTAAAGAAGTATTTGTGATTTCCTGGACATTCATGCAATGCAAGAGTATAAAATGTCATGAAATAGGTGAATTGTTGAGCAGTTCTGGTTTTCCCCTTTATTTATGACTTGATGAAACAATGCCGGACACCGTCTCCCGCCCAGCCTTAATAGATGTCTAATCACATCTCTGCCTAATCAAGGAAGAAGTCGCTAACTCCCTTGCATATCCCACTTCCTCTGACCTTTGATTGCAGTTTGAATTATCTCTATGACAACTTCTAAGTGCTGTTTCGCAAAGTTAACAGGAACCCGGTATGAATATCTTAACACAGTAATGAGAAGAAAATATTCTGCCTGTCCCAGATAGAAGAATGTACAATGGTAATACAACTGAACTGGTCTCCTCTGAAGGCAAGAGAGATCTATTGAATCAGGTTGGCTGTTGGGGAGGGACCAGTTCAAAGGACCTGGGCTTGGATGTAGGCTCTACTGTTTCCTAGCTGTCTCCCGTCCCATCTCTGACGCTCACTATCCGTCTGACCTTGACCCAGTGATTTCTCTCTCTCTGGGCATCTGTTTCTTCCACAAAATGAAGGGGTTGGACTGGATCAGGGCTTCTTAACCTTAGGCATCTGGTGAAGCCTATGGACCCCATTTTGGAGTAATGTTCTTTAAATGCACAAAATGAAATATAGAAGGCTGCAAAGGAAACAGATATATTTCAGTATAACATGTAAAGAACACACAGTGAGCTCTAGGAATCCCTTAAATGAGTTCTAAGGTCTCTTCCATCTTCTGAGATGAATAAAAGATGAAAAGGAATACTGCCTGGCATTCATTTTACCAGATCCCTTATGCAATGAGAGTAATTGAAAGGTTTTGAAATGCTAGCAGCGGGAGCTGTTTTTCATGTGTCCCTTGAAAAAGGTTCCCAGCATTCTTGTGTGATGGGTTATACTTACTTCACTACCAGTGTTGTCATTGTGATTTCTATTTGAGGTGTCTGGTGACTTGTGTTCTCTGTGCTTTTCTCCCTTACTTTTTGCTTGAGTCACTCTTGAGTTTGTCTTTGCTCAACTGAAACCTTGTTATCGCCATATCCAAACATTGCCTCTCCAAGTCCGGCCGCCATCGATCGAGGAATGATGTGTATATTGCTGTTGACCCAGTCTGCGTGTCCTGATGGGTGATGGGTTGGGTTTTTTTTTTTTAATTTTGTTTTGTTTTGTTTTGTTTTTGGGTGGGAGGAGGAGGGGCAAACAGACGGTTTCAAGGACAGCTGCAAAGTGGTGTTGGAATCCAAGCTGTTGTGAAGGGGAAAAAAAATTGTATTGCACCTTGGACTGTCAAAGGGAGGGAACAGAAATAAATTATCTTTTAAAAAAAAGTCAACCTGCTTAAGTATTTTTTTTTTTGGTCATAATGTAGAGATATTTGAAGACTTGTTAAAAATTTGCATGCCTCTCAGTCACACCAGTGGTTCCTGGGGTGACTTTTCCAGAATGTTTGCCTGGGTAGAAGTATCTCCCTCAACTGGGTGAGATACTTGTGCTATCTTAGTCTAATGCTGTGTGTATATGTGTGTGTGTGTGTGTGTGTGTGTGTGTTGAAGGTACTTCTGTAGGCCTAACCTGTCTCATGCTATTTGGTTCTACAAAAAAGTGTTAGGTCCTCAGAAATGTTATTAGAGATAATAGGATTTAGAGTCAAAAGGGCCCTTAGAGAGAAATTAGTCCAACTCCCTCATTTTATAGAGGCCTATAACTAAGGCCTAGTGAGGTATGGCAAAAAAGACACTGGATTTCAGCCCTTCTACGTACCATTTATATGACCTGGTGTAAACTGAGGTTTCTTTTAGTTCTAATGGCATGAAATTTCCCCTATAAATATATATTTAAATGTTATTATATATTATTAAATATTAAATTAAATATATTTAAATGTATATAAAATATAAGTAAAAATGATCACTAAGGGCTCTTACAGCTCTAAATTCTATGAGCTTTTTCATTGCTGTGGAGTTCTACACTCCTGGAGAGTGTGTGTCCCTGCAGCCTCTGGCAGCAGAAAATGGTGGTTGGGGAGGGGATAGGGCTAGAAAACTACACATCTGGTTTTTCCAAGGCCTCAGTTGAGGGTAGGAAACAAATCCCACAAGTGACTCAAATGTCATTCTTGGGAGATGAGAAACAGCCAGAAAACTTTCTAAAAGGCACACCTTCCTGTAGAAAGAGAACTAATGTTGGGAATGTGAATTTGTATGGCCATTCTAGAAAGCAGTTTGGAAATATGCTACAGATAGTGACTAGTATCCTTTAGCCCATATCTCACTGCTAGGCATATGCCCAAGGGGGTCAGAAAGAGGGGAAGGTCCCATACATGTCAAATATTCATAGCAGCACTTCTTGGAGTGGCAGAAGAATCGATTGGAAAATAGCACAGTAGATTCTAGAGCATTTTACCTAGAGTCAGGAAGACGAGTTCAGATCCAGTCTAGGATAGCAATAGTTGTGTGACCCTGGACAAGTCACTTAAACCTCTGTTTGCCTCCGTTTCCTCAACTGTAAAATGGAGATAATAGTGTCTTCTTCCCAGGGTTGTTGTGGGGATCAGATAGTATTTGTAAAATGATTAGCGTAGTGCCTGACACATAGTAGGTGCTATATAAATGCTAGTCATCACCATCATTATGTGGCTAAAGAAATCAATGGAATAAGAGTGCAATAAGAAATGATGAATGTGAAAAATTCAGAGCAGAGTTGGAAGAACCAGTGTAGAGTGAAGGTGAGCAGAAGAAGGAAAAGAATACCCACAATGATATAAATAGACCACTGCCAATAGCAACCAAAAAACAACTCAAGTCCAAGTTTGGTTGGTTTTTTTGTTTGTTTGTTTTTAGCTAGGCAATGGGGTTAAGTGACTTGCCCAGGGTCACGCAGCTAGCAAGTGTTACGTGTTGCAGGCCGGATTTGAACTCAGGTCCTCCTGAATCCAGGGCCAGTGCTCTATCCACTGCACCACCTAGCTGCCCCCTAAGTTTGGTTTTGAGAATAGATGAGATGTATCTCCCTTCTTTGAAGAGCTGGAGTCCAGGGGTATGGAATATTTCAGATACTATCAGCCCTGGGTTATTTGTAGGTAGTTTTGCTGAATTTACTTATTTAGTTATTTTTCTGTCTTTGCCATGATGAATGGCTCACCAGGTTGGGAAGGAGGATGAACATATTCAGAAATGAACAAAAGATAACAATAAAAATTAAAGGCAAAAGAAACCATCAAATTCTTTAGCAAGTGTATTCTTTTATGTCCAAATATCATAAAACCGCACTGTGTTTTACACTACTTAGATCATGATTGGAGTATTATGTTCAATTCTGGGCACTGCATCCAGGAGAATTTTTGTTTAAAAAATAATAACTAGCAATTCGAGCTTTTAAGGTTTGCAAAGCTCTTTACAAATATTTTATTCTCATCGTACCCCTGGGAAGTAGGTGCTATTATTATTTTACAGATGAGGAAACTGAGGTAGACAGGTCACCCAGCTAGCAAGTGTCTGAGGCTGGATTTGACCTCGGCCCTCTTTCCGTTGTGTTCCTTAGTTTCCTAAAATTAGAACATCTCCAGAGAAGAGTGTAAAATAAGGTGGAGAAGGAAATGGCAAACCATTCCAATCCTCTCCAAGAAAACTCCAAATGGGAACATGAAGTTGAGAGCAACTGTAAACAGAAGGGTGATCAGGAGGAGAGGTCTGGAGACCAGACCTCCAAGGACAGTTAAAGGAACTGCAGATATTTAGCCTGAAGAAAAGACTTGTGGGAGATTGTTCCCTCAAAATATCCCCCAGGCTGTTGTGTGGGTAGATAATGAATCATCCATTTAGGGAGTCCTGCTCTAGGGGATAGAACATTTCCCTGCCTTTCCAATAAAGAAATGGGACAAGTGCTCATAAACAGGAATGTAGCATCTGGTGCTCTTATATAAAGGAGCCAGTCGACTTTCCCAAAAGGGAAGATTTTTTTTTTTAACTGTTAGAAATCTTAGGGAAGAGCTACAGTCCAAGAATATGGTTTGGATCTGGAAGTAACCCTGGATCTAATATCAGCCAACTCGGGTTCACATTCCAGCTTTATTTCAGTTAGAGGCGAATGTAAATAACACCATAAATCTATCCACAGGCACCCCCACCCCAGATTAAGAAACCCGGATCTAGAAACTGTAATATCAAGATTGTTAAGGCTGGTTGTAGGCTGATACACCTTGAGCTGTAGTAGACCTCAGAGGTCCCCCTCATTTTACAGATAAGGAATATTACGTAATCCAACCACATTCACACAGGTTAAGGATCTATCCACCTTCATTTTACAGATAAGCAAAGAGAAGAGAAATCATTTGACCGAGGTTGGGGATGTGAGATGACCCAGGGAGATACCTTCTCTGGAATTTATAGCCTGAGACAGTCACCTGAGAAACTGAGATGCTGAGGTACTTGCCCAGGGTCAAACAGTGTCTGAGGTGGGACCTGTATCCAGATCTGCCATCTTTTTTTTTTCTTTTTGATGAGGCAATAAAGGTTAAGTGACTTGTCCAGGATCACACAGCTAGTAAGTGTCAAATGTCTGAGGCCGAATTTGACCAGGTTTGCCATCATGAGGCTGGCTGTATCCACACCTCTCTTGTGTTTGGTCCATGGTCAGTAGCTAGATTCAAGGTTCTCTACCTTCAAACCTGATGCGGGTTAGGCTCTATCACCTTAGGAGTAAATTGGGTTCTTGTCTCATTTGCTCTCTTGAGCCCATCCCATGCCACAAGCCTTCCCTTCCCTTTCCCTCCCTCATTTTATTTCCTGCATTTCTGCTTCTGTCTGAGTGTGGAGTGGAGGGAGGAGGGTATGGAGGCTGATCTTGACTGGTCATAAACTGGAGTAGTCTTGGGGACTTCCAACCCTTCTCCTCTGAGCCTGCCTAAAGAATAATAGCTCAGATTTTCTGGTGTTGGATTAGGTGGCTTTATTTATTTATTTATTTTTAAAGAAGTCTTTATATCCATCAACCCCATCCTCTGCCGGTGCAGAGCTAAGAGAGAGATTCTTAATCTACCTCCCACTGACCTGGGGACTCAGACGAGGGTGCGGGTGACATGGGATTGATTGAATTCAGAGTCATTATACAAAAGGGTGCTTGGTGACATGAGAAAAGCCAAGGTCATTTACTGTGTTTTCTGTGCACGCTCTGGTACTCGGCAGGGAAATAAATTCTTTGATTTAGAAGCCATCCTCAGTGCTGCTGTCCAAGTGGTATGGGTTATTACTCACTTGAAAGTTTGGTAGGGAGGAGGGAGTTTATTAAAGAAGGAAATTACTCCAATCCTCCCAGGCTCCAGAGTGAAGCAAGGAGAGAGATTGTAAGATTGAGAGCTGGAGAGGGACCATCAAAGTATGTACTCCTCATTTCGAAAAGGAGAAAAATGAAGCCTGCCAAGGGGAAATTATTTGCCCAGGGTCACATGGGGATACATGGTATTGTGTAGTGGGATTTGGAGTTAGAAGATCTGGGTTTGAATCCTAGGTCTCTAACTTAATACCTCTATAGTCTCTTGGAGATTGGACTTTCCTGGCATTAAAGATTTGGGCATTTATTAAAAGGAATATTATAAAGTACCTTTCATTCCATCCCTTAGCCTATTGTGTCCTAGGCAGCTTGCCTGTTCATTTTTCTTGCTCTGTTATTCATGTAGACATAAAATCAATCAACAAGTATTTACAGAGTGCCCACTATGTGCCAGGCTCTGTGAATACAAGTACAAAGAAGGAAGGGATCCCTACTTGTAAAGAGCTCTTGGTCTAGTGTATAGTTTTTTACATCAAGTGAAATAATCTACTAACCTTTGCACATTCATGTGATGAAAATGGAGGGGAATAAGGCCCCTAGAGAAAGGTTTCATTCCACAGTAAACATTGGACCTCTGAAAAGAAGGAACAGCTGGCCATAGTGACACCCCCTGGCTGTGATCCAGGCTGAGGTGGGTGGCTCAAGAGGCTAAGCTGATCTTGTGTCCTCACTAAATCTGGAGCAAATATGCTGATCTCCCGGGAGGAGGAGGAGGCCACCTGCCCAGGGAAGGGCGGGTCAACTGACCCAGGTCAGAAATGGAGTGAGATCAGTAGCTGGGTAAGGTCAGTGAGTGACTGCTGAACAGATGCTCAGCCTGGGTGAGATGCAAAGACCCTGTCTCAAAACAACAGCAACGAATGGTAACAACAACAACGAGGACCATGGAGAGCGGATCATGGTCAGTGGAGTGGAAAGGTGCCTCTCAGCAGGGAATGTTATGGCATGAGCCTGTATTTATTAAAGTCAGGCAGCCAGGGAGTACAGTGGCTAGAGCACTGGGTCTGGAATTACAAAGACCTTCCTTCAAATCTGGCCTCAGACACTTAACGAGCTGTGTGACCCTGGGCAAATGACCTCTACCTGCCTCAGTTTCCTCATCTGAAAAATGGGGATAATAATTGCACCTACCACACTGGGTTGTTGTGAGGATCCCATGAGACACTAATTGTAAAGCATTTAATGCAGTGCCTGGCATATAGTAAGTGCCATATAAATATCAATGATTGTTATTATTATCTCCTCCCAGATAAGATGAGATAATATTTCTAAAATGCTTTATACATGCTAGCTACAATTATTACTGCTGCTGTTATTATTATGAGATAATAATTGTAGAATGCTTAGCACAGTGCCTGGCACATAGTAAGTTCTAGACAAATGTTAGCTGCTATTATCATCAAAATTATCATTATTATTATTAGCAATGGGATACCATGCAAATGCAGGAAGATCTGTGATTTCATCAGTATGGGGAACTTCTAGTGTAGCAATTTTTTCTACCACAGCAGATCACCACCTTCTATCTAAACTATAGCTAAGTCCTAGGAAGTTGTCTGAGATGCAGAGAGTTAAAAGTGACCTTCTCTGGATCACACAGCCAGTAAGTGTCAGAGGTGGGGTTAGAACTCAGGTGCTTCTGACCCCAAGCTCAACACTCTATATCTACTATGCTAGGTTGCCTCTTCTAGTGCCTCCTATACAAATACAGTTATCCCTTCCACATCACGGGGGTGAGGGGCTGGACATTTTCCAGATTGTAGGGGGTGCTGTGACCCTAATCCCCATGATCTGGAAAATCTGCAGAAAATTTTTTGGCTCTCTTTTTGTACCGTGGAAGAAGTCTGAATTATTATGGTGTTAAAAAGATAAGATATATTAATATTATACAATACTATACATATATTTTATGCATTTCTGAGTTTCTAAGCTTTTTCTTTATCATCTGCCATTGCATGTCACCTGTGGCTTCCGTTAAACTCCCCACATATTCCCATTTAATTTCTTATGCCAACCCACAGTATATCGAAATCGTAATGGGGAAAGTCCCAGTGTGGAGGGGATTACTATACTGCTAGACAGCTCATTCTCCTTTTTTTTTTATTTTGGCTCATTCTGCCATTCAAAAGGCTTTTTTGTCATTGTCATGATTTTTATCCTCTAACAATAATAACAATGACAATTGTCCTGTGTCCTGTCTTCCTTTGCAGCAGATGGTACAAGGGAAGCTTGTATGCTTTCACTGAATCTCACAACTAGAAAAGACCCCTTTGGCCATCTTACCCAACCCATACTTGGCCAAGAATACCCTCTATGACATATCCTATGGGGGCTCATCCAGGCTTTTCGCTAGTGAGGCCACAGTGACCCAAGGCATCCTATTCTACTTTCAGACAGCTGGAAAGGTTGAAACATTTTCCCTTCCATTAAGCTCAAGTCTTCTTCCCTGGACTTTCCACCTGTCGCTTACCCGCTGGGGTCAAGCAGAATAAATCTAACCCTTCTTCCACGTGGCAGGCCTTCAAATCAAGTCAGGTCAATAATCATCTATTAAGCTTTATTAAGCAATTGCAGTGTGCTATCTGGGAACACAAAGAAAAGCAAAAATATGGTCTCTGCTCTCCAGGAGCTTCCATTCTAACAGAGGAGACTATGTGGAAACCATTATGTGCATACAAGATTTACAGGATAAATGGGAGTTAAATTCTTGAAGACAATGCTTATATCTTCACCTGACTCCCAAAATCTATTATTCTCCAGGTTAAGCGTTCTTAAGTTTATTCAAATGACTCTCAGGTAGAAGGATCCCAAGGCCTTTTCCCATCAGGATTACCCTCCTCTGGACACTCTCCACTTGATCAACTTTGTTCAATACAGTTTTCTGGAACCAAAAAGTTAACACATTGGAATCAATTAGAGCTGGAAGGGAAGACTTAGAGGCAGGACTTCATTCATTTTTCAGATACGGAGACTGAGGCCCCAGAGGTTAATTGTTAATTGTCCCAGGTCATGCAGGTAATAAGTGGCAAGGATTGCATTCAAAATTTGGCCAGGATTTGAACCAGGGTTCTTTGAATATAACTCCATTGTATTTGCCACGAACTACAGTCTCCTCGTATCTATTTCTCTTTCATTTCATAAGAAAACAAACAATTACACTACTTTGGAGATGAACAGTATCCGTTCAGTCTGCAGTGTTGCCAACAATCACAGTGTCAGAGAGTTGGCACTGGAAGGGACCTTCGAGGCCACCATTTTATAGACAAAGCAACTGACTAGGGTTGATTGTTACTCCCTGACTCAAGAAGTTTTAGTGGCCTCTTTTTCCCTCTATTAAATACAAACTCCTCTGGCATGGAAAACCCTTCGCAATCTGGCTGTGACTGTAACTTAGCTTTTGGAATTGATTTCACATCATTCCCTATTTTCTTCCAACCAAACTAGCCTGCTTGTTTTCCTAATAAGACATTGCCATCTCCCACCTCTAGACTTTGCACAAGAGGTTTCTGGGAATGCTATCCCTCCTCACCTCTAACTCCTGGATTCCCTACTGCCCTTCTAGCCTCACTTCTGGTACCACAACCTATAAAGAGGCCTTTCCTAATCCTCCTCAGTTTATAGTATTCTCCTGGATAATGCTTGGCAAACACTTTGTATTTATTGAACAAGCCAATGTAGGAGAAAGAGAGCTGATCTCTGAGCTAAGAACACCTGGGTCCGAGCTTGTCTCCCACATATATTTGCTGTGTGATCTTGGGCAAATAATTTAACCTCTCAGTGCTCTAGGGAACTCTCTAAAATGCAAAGTTGCAGAAAGAGGGCCAAGCTACATTGATGGAGGAAATTCCTCACTGGGGGCTGCCAATGTGAATGAAATAATAGGGCCAGCCTCAGTGCCTTATCTGTGTACATAATGTTTCCTGCAGTACAATACACACTCCTTGAGGGTAGACACTGGGTTTTGTTTTTGTATCCCCAGTACCTAGCACAGTGCCTGGTACACAGTAGGTGCTTAACAAATGCTTGTTAAATTGAATTGACAACACCAAACAAAAACATTCTGAAAATGACCAACTTAAGATATATATTAACAAGGGCTCTCACCATTATCCTCGTCACTGTCGTCATCATCATCACCATCATGGCTAGCATTTATAGAGCACTTTAAAGTTTGCAAAGCACTTTACCTCATTTGGTTACCTCACAATATTACCTCATTTGATCCTCACAATAACCCTGGTAGGTGCTATTATTATCCCCTTTTATTTATCACTTATTTTTTATTTATTATATTATTAATTATATATTATTGTTCTATGTGATAATATTAAGTTATTATATTATTTTATGTCTTTATTTATTATTCCCCATTTACAAATGAGGAAACTGAGACTGAGAGAGGTTAAGTGATTTGCCCAGGGTCACACAGCTTCTTTCAAAACTTAGAGTGTCTGGAGAGAGCCACGTATCCATCACTGGAGAAGCCAGATGTGGAGATTAAAAAAAAAAACCCATAAAAAAACACAAAACAAAAACAAATAAAAAACACAGAATTTGCTTTCCAAAGATGCAACTGGAAAATCCATACAATTCCAGGGGAACTAAGAAAACAGTCCTATTGATGTACCATGGGAAATAATGACTCTAAATTACCACCAAGGGAACTCAATCTATCCATTCAATTTTTTCATGAGTCAGCCTTTCTCCAAGTTCAGCATTGCATCATGGGAGGGATTCTTAGTACCCAGGTTACTTTGATGGATAAGCTTTGCCACTCTGGTCTCTGCATTTAAACAGCTTAGATAAGTGGGATCAGATTCAGATAGAAACAAGGGGTTGCTAAAATGTACCTATGTAAGGCACCCTGCAGGCCACATTTTGGTTTATAAAATCACATATTAACAACATCTTTGTTCTATTGTATTTGTTAAATATTTCCCCATTATATTTTGATCTGGTTTAGGGCTCCCTGGGGAATGCTTCCAGCATGTCACAGGGTTCTGTGGATGAAGAATAAACTTAAGACATTGTTAAGAAAGATACAGAATGCTCATTCAAACTCCAGTGTTGGTGACTGCCAAGGGACGGTTATCTTCTCATCTGAGAAGTCCTTGTTTCCCTGAGATCTTCTACTTCGTCCTCTTCCGCAGAGGCCTTGCCACTTATTGTCTCTTCCTCTTGTTTCTGGTTTTGCATGGTGCTCTGGGCATTCTAAAAAGAAGAGAAACATCATCATCTATTAGCCAGCATTACAGATAACTGCATGGCATTGCTGATCTCACTTAGATGGCAGCCATCAGATTTGGAGCAGGAAGAGTTTTTGGAGACCATCAGAGTCTTATAGATAATCAGAATTTTAACCCGGGTCTTGTGACTCTGAATCCAATACTGCCCTAAAATACCAAGAGGCTGGGATGGAGATGGGAGAAGAAACGGGAGAAAGAGGAGAGGGAGAGAGCGCCTAAGAGCCAGGCAATACTGGAATTATGGGTAATGCAACTGTAAAGCTCAGAGGCAAAACTTGCCTTGGATCTAGTGGCTTTTAGAAGATTAGCAAGAATTTCTTCTAAGCCCCAGCTGCCCAAGTGAAATCATTTTGAAATTCCATTTTCAGGGAGCTCAGCAATGTGTCACTGCTACAGGAGAAGTTATGTGGTACCATGGACTCAGGAAATCTGGGTTCAAGTACTATCTGTGCCAACTGTGTGATATCACTTTCCCTCTCTTGGACTCAGTATAGTCATCTGGAAAATGGAAGGGGTTAGACTAGACAGTCTCCTCCACATCTAATATTCTATGGCTTGGGAATGTGTAGACATAGCTTTGGAAGGAACGGACATATTTATTCAGTTGCCCAGCAAAGTTCAAAAGAGACACATACTTTAAAAAGAAAGCAACAAATGTTAAAAAATTGTTTTTACATGTAATTGGGGGGGAAAATAAAATATTATTAAAAAAAGAGAAAGACAAGTGAAATTGCTGTTCTATCCTCAAAACATTTTTTCCTTCCTCACAACTCTTACAACTGTGCCTTAAAAGGACTTGGTGTTCATGTATTCTCCTCATTTTACAGATAGGGAAACTGAGTCCCAGGGAAGGGAAGTGACTTGCCTAAGTCACCCAGCTAGTGAGTGGAAAAGTCAGGAACTGAACCCAGGTCTTCCAATTCTTAGTGTAGTGTTCTTTCCACTAGATCAGGCCTGCAAAACCTTCGGCATGCCAAAGGATTTTGGGTGGCCTGCGAAAAATGTAGAGGAAAACAAATGCACGCACTAGGCCATGTGACTTTTCCTAAATATGCTTGTTTTAAAAGCAACTATTTGTTCCCAAAAATGGTACAATGGAAAGACCATTGGTTCTAGGCCAGAAGACCTGGGTTCAAATCCCACCTCCAGTGCTATTTGTGATGTTGGGCAAATCACTTAACCTTCTTAAAGTCTCCTTAGTTTCGTCATCTGTAAAGTGAGGGCATTGGACAAAATGGTGTCTGAGATGCATGCCAGCTCCAGATCCAAGGTCCTGAGTCCCAGATATTTGAAAAGCTGTAACCACTTGTGGGACCATTGGTAAGTCACTTCATCTTTTTAGATTCTGTTGTTTTCCCTGTAAATTTAGGGGATTAGATATATGACATCCAAGGAAACGAAACTGACATCTCTCTGAAACTTAATTTGAGCTTAGAACTCTAGGTGTGATTTTTGCTGCCAATGGCTTTAAGTTAATTCAGAGTAATTTACCGGTTCTCACCTTGGACCTGTTTGCTCTGTTCACCACAGTTAAACATTTCCCAACACTTACCAGACTAGCAAAAGACCATGATACAGATGACGAGGGGTTGGTCGCATTGATGGGCCTTGCATCCAGATTCCCACTAACACCATGTATCTTGGCTCTAAAATCCTGTAGAAGCAAAAACAGTCTTGGTTGGATTTTAGTATCAAAGGACAACATAATAGGAAATAAGAAAGGGAGGGATAGCAAAAGAAGGCAATTGTGGGATTTGTTTCATAAATAAAGAAGAAGAAGAAGTTCCACGGTGTTATAGAGGTGAATAGAAGACCTGGGTTTGAGTCATGCTTCTGATACATGCTGGCTGTATGACCCAGAACAAGTCAGACACTTAGCTGTGTGACCCTAAGCAAGTCACTTAACCATATTTGCTTCAGTTTCCTCATCTGTCAAATGAGCTGGAGAAGGAAATGACAAACCATTCCAGTATCTTTGCCAAGAAAACCCCAAATGGGGTCACGAAGATTTAGATATGATCCATGGGGCATCTAGGTGGCACAGTAGACAGTGGTCAGGGACTAGAGTCAGGAAGACCTGAGTTCAAATCTGACCTCAGACACTTACTAGCTATGTGACTCCATGCAAGTCACTTAATCCTGTTTGCCTCAGTTTCCTCACTTTGAAAATGAGCTGGAGAAGGAAATGGCCAACAACTCTAGTATCTTTGCCAAGAAAACCCCAAATGGTGTCACCAAGAATCAGACATGACTGAAACAAGTGAACAGCAAGCCTTTCAATGTTTTAGGCAACAGTCGATAGTTTCAGAAAAACTTTGCACTGGTAGAGAAAGTTAATTTACTAACTTGGAATTACTTAGAATCTGGAATAGGAGTTCCCTATTCCAGTGAAATCAAAGGTCCTGTCTATTATTGTTGGCATTATCACCATCATCATCATCATCATCATCATCATCAAATCCCAAATGTAGCTCCTTTCTTTGCCATGATTCAAGGAAGGGGTGAAAATTGTGAAATTTATCACTGCAGACTTTAAAAATCTAGTCCCTACCAAATGCCTAGTAAGACACAAGCTCATGGCTGCAATTATACTTCAGAAATTCTCTATGCTACTTGGTTTGACAGATGACAAGTTCCAGAACTACAAATGCAGATCTCAGAGTATCCCCGAGAGCTCAAGCAGTAAGCTAGACTAGCACTGAAGCCTTATCACAGATCAAGTTGTTGCTCCAAGTCAACTCGATATAATGTTATCTATAAAAACTTTTAAAAATTTAATCTTATTTTTAAGATTTGACATAAATAAAATTTTATCTCTTTATCAAATACTCAACTTCCAAGCTATGTGGAATTAAAGTTTTCAAAATATAGAGACGAGGCACAGTGCCCAGCACATAGGAAGCACTTCATAAATGTCTATTGATTGATTGACGTAGCAAAGGAGTCACAATCAGCTGGAAACAGGAGGAGCTATTCTTATTGTCCCTTCTGCTGCTTGAGAATGCTTTCAGGGAGTCTGCAGAGTATAAGTTTGCATCTTAATATTTTTATTCAACTTCAAAAAGCAGTTATTTTACTCACTTGTGCAATTGTCTGTAGAATACTAAATGTAAAGGAATAGTAGCAAGAGGTTGACTTGTCCTAGAACCATTTCTATCTGAACCCCATCAAGCAATATGAGAAAGAATGAATGAAGACTTTATTAAGTGCTTACTTTGTATATGGGGCAGCTGGGTGGCACAGTGGGTACCAGGGCAACCCTCACTCTCACTCCACCATCCTTCTGTGATCATGTTTTCCCTTGATGATCAAATGAATAGCCATTAATGGCAAAACAAACCCATTGAAAATTGTATAGTACTTGTGGCAAGAGGAAATTTCCATCCATGAAATTTTACATCAGTGTCTCAAGTTCCTTAGAACAGGTTTTAGAATGAATGATACAGTTTTTTTTAAATTAACAAAAATTATTCTTGGAAAAAAGATGTGAAGGAACTAGATTCAGTAATATCAGACCTCAAATCATATTATAAGGTGAGAGAAGCATTGAAATTCAAAATGGATAATTGTGATTATTTTAAATTAAAAATTTCCTGTATAAATAAAACCTATATAGCCAAGAATAGAGGGAATGCAGAAAAATTGGGGGGGGGGGTGGAGTCTCACAGGCAGTCTACCAGATAGAATGTGATTGGGTCAGAATACTATTGTGGAGTAGGAAATGTTGAGCTGGGGGATTTAAACTTATAGAGGAAGATGCTATTCATTTTCAAAGAAACAGATGAAAAGTGGAAATAAGTATAGTACAGTCTTACATATATGTGTTTGAGTGTATATGTGTATATATGTGTATGTTTATGTGTGTGTATATGTATATTCTTAATTGTAGCCTTCTTCGGGGGCGGATCAGGGAGGAAGGGGAAAAAATAAAAAGTGCACAAAAAGAGAGCAAAAGAAAACATACAAGGATGCAAAGAAAAGATGGACAGCTTTGAAAATAATGTATAGTATTCATTATATAGGTTTTCTTGAAATGGAAATTTATTCTCTCATGTTCCTGCTGTGTAGATTGGCAATTTTTTCTTTTCTTATTTTGTATTTAAATTTAAAATACATTTAAAAATTATTTTTAAAAAAGTTTTAAAAAGTTATTCTTCTGTGTAGTGGGGGTGGGGGAAATAGGGGGAGAGGTAATTTTTTACTCACCTCTAGATCTCTTTCCAAATCATAGTTTTCCAGTATCTGGAAGGCCTTGGAATATACCTCCACAGCCTTGGCATGAAAAACCATCTCAATGGTTACAAAGTCGGAGAAAATTTTCTGGGGGGGGAAAAAGCCCCAAAATATCACCATATCAATAACCCGTATTTCTATGGAGCTTTCCATTTTACAAATCCTCTTCTTCACAACAACATGGTGCCTGGCATGGTGGCTTACGCCTATAATTTCTACATCCGAGGAGGCTGTCCTGGACGTGATTTCTCTCTAAAAGCATCGTAAGGGCCTGTGAGCATTTCTGTCTTCAGAATCACATTGTTGACCCATATTGAGTCCTCTAAAATCTCTAGATCTTTTTCAGGACTGCTTTGAGCCATGCTCTACCTCCCATACCCCTACCCCCAAATGTGTTTTAGGTGTTTACACCTTCCTGAAATGCCCTCCTTTTTTTGTCATGAAGATGGTCTACCTCTGGGTAATCCTCCCCTGCAATAGGAGATTGAGTTTAGTTGTGAAAAAATCAGATGCATAGCTCTGAGGCCTAATCTGAAGGACATGAAAATCTCCGACCAGATCCCCTCTATGATATAATATGTCCTGGCTCCCAAGCCACGCAAGGTCTGACTGTAGGCTACATGAGACCCTAGGATAAAATAGATGTGAGCTCCTAATGGACTGTCCCTCCCAGAGGTATGGTAGCAAGGGCCAACACCAGAGACGATGGCAAGGAAAAACCCTGCGTGACCACAGATGAGCCACTGTAAAATTAGAGCCTTAGCGGCTACCCTCTTCCTTACCCTCTTATGCTTTGCACTGAGACTCTCCCAAGATTTGGGCCAGTCTGACCAAAGTACAACAGCCTTGGCTGGATTATGGGCTTACTGGATCTCAGTGGAGACTCTGAGGTGTATCTCTGGTGTACAGCCTCAGTTGAGTTTCTCTACCACCCCCATTTTTATTGCTAACACCCTCTCTTTTGGGCCCTCTAAATCCTACCATCCTTCAAGGCCCAACTTCTGCAAAACTCTTTCCTAGTCACTCTTGCCCATTGGGATCTCTTGGCCGTCTCATTAGGTATCTTGTCTTGTCTCACTGGGTATCATGTTTGACATCTGATGGGAAGCAGACAATCCCTATCTACTCCAGTCTAGTTATACCCCAATATTGCCAGAAGTAGCAGTACCAGAAGATGGTGCTTCTGAGATCTCTTTGTTGGCCAATCAGATTTATTCTTTAATGAACTGGTTCCAAGGTGGCGAGAGCTAAGTGATTCTATGACTGAACAATGAATGTCTTATATACCTGAATGTCTTTCAGCTTCTGGTTCTGAAATATATCAATGGTCTCTTCAAGTTGGTGGGTGGTACGGCTCGCATCCACAGAAGCTTTCTGCACATTTGTCTCAGCCTGAGGAGTAGGAATTAGAGGTTAGCCTTCAGCACAACTCCATGCTTACCCAAATCCAGGAACGTTTCCTGCTAAGACAAAAGTAAAGAGAATTGACTTAAAAAATTGATTCAGGGATGGCTCTATGCATAGGGCAAGTAGGTGACCACACCCATGGTATAATTTCTTAGACACTGAAAGTCCTCTCTGACTAAAAATCTCTCACTGGCCTGAGATTTTCACCATTATAGATACTCTAGATGTACACATAGAATTCCAGAGTTAAAAGAGGTCTAAGGGAATATCTTTTTTTTTTTTTAACAGATGAGAAAATTGAGGTCCAGAGAGGAAAATTAACTTGCCCAAGGTCACACAGGTAGGAAATGGAAGAGGCAGGATTCAAACCCAGGACCTCTGATTCCAAATCCTGCTTTCTTATTACATGCAGATTAATTCATTATGCTACCTGGAAAAAAATAAGACATTCACCAGCTAGAATTCATTAGCAGGAAGTATTAGGTTGGTTCATTATTTATCATCTATTTCTGCAGGCTGCTTTAGTGGAGAGAGAACTGCCTTCAAGGTCAGAAAATCCTGGGTTCACGTCCTTCCTCTATGTACTGGCCATGTGATTCTGGGCAACTCACAACCTCTCAGAGCTCTAGGCAACTCTAAGCCTGTAAGGTACCAAGAAGGTGCCATACACTACCAAAATCATAAGTTTGATCCCTCTCCCTTTGGTCTATTGACACATAGCCAGAACGGAATCTAGACAGAAAAGAATTAAAATCCCCTTTGGCATGGGCTGCCCCCTCTAAGCCTGGATTGGAATCCCTCTTCATTTCCATCTCATAGAATTACTCTCTTCAAGGACCACTTACTACTTGAAGCATTTCCCAGTTTCCCTAAGTTCCGAATGCCCTCTATCCCTAACAACTTTTTTTTTTTAAATTTTGTACTCATTCTGTATATTTATTATGTATCTACTTATATAGCTACAGGTTTTCTCCCCCAGTAGAATGTAAACTACGCAAGGGCAGGGATTGTTTCATTTTTTTTTTGACTTTGTATCCCTAGCATCTAGCCCAGCCTAGTATACAGTAGGTGCTTAACAAATGCTTGTTGATTGACTGATCTGTAGAATTAGGGGCTTGAACACATGTTCAGGTATGATATTCCCAGCATTTAGCACAGTTTCTGACATTCAGTAAGTGCTTAATACATGCTTGTTGACTTGGCTTGGCTTAAATGATCTCTAAGGTCTCAGCCTACCAACCAAAATGATCAATCCCAGATGAGGGGTGTCCTTTGAGGCCAGCAACCGAATGTTTGTCTCACAGAATCTCATAACTGGTAGGGCCCCTAGAGAGCTACTAGTCCAGCCTCTTCATAGTGGTACAGATGGGGAAACTGAGGCTGAGAGATGATATTATGCACTCAATATCATGGGACCAAACCAGGGCTAGACTAAATCTCCTAGGACTGTGCTCTTTCCATGACATCTTTGTGCTCAATAAATGTTTATTGTTTCCTCTTGAGTTCTGTCCAGGCCTCATTACCTAATATAATGCTCACCTGTGGTTTGGCAGGGGGATTTATTACCATTTCATAACAGCAGTGTCTCTACAGGTGCTACACCTACCTGGGACTGGCAAAAAAACCAGTTGTTAAGGAAACTAAATTATAGGAGCAATCATGGAAGCTTTTAATGAGCCGGTATAAAGCAGCACAGGGAGATTATTACAGCTATCTCTCACACAATGAAAAAAGTCCACTCCCAAAACCAAAATGGAAAGACCACTAGCACAGGATCGTAGGTTTATTCAGTCGATCAGTCAATAAACATTTACTATGTATTTATTCTGTGCCAAGAACTGTGCTAAGCCCTAGGGACACAGAATAACAGAAGAGAACATAAAAGGCAAAAACAGTCCTGTTTTCAAAGAGCATCTGTTCTCATGGGGGCAGGGGGAAGATACATTAAAAAATGAGGCAATACAAGACAGAGACAGAGTGGATGAATGTGATCTGAAAGAAGAGACATGGGCCACCTTTGGGGGGCTGGAAGAGTGGCTGAGAAAGACTTCCCAGAGAAGGCAGCCTTCCCGATGAGTCTTGAAGAAAGCCAGGGAAGTGAAGAGGTAGAAGTGAGGAGAGAGAACATTGCAGGCATGGGAGAAAGCCAGTGCAAAGACACGGACCAGGAGATGGGAGTGTCATGTAAGAGGAACAGCAAGAAGACCAGAGTGGCTGAAACATTGAGTACATGGAAAGACATAAAGTGTAGGCAGACTGGAAAGGTAGGGAAGGATCAGGTTGGGAGGGATTTAAATGCCAAAAAAGAAGACTTTGTATTTTATTCTGGAGGTAATGGGGAGCCACTGGGAACTCACTGAGCAAGGGGAGTGACATAAATAAGCAATCATGGCAGCCGGGTGGAAGATGGATTGGAGGAATCTCAAAGACCATCATATCCAATCTCATTTTCCAGATGAGGAACCCAAAGCCAAGAACAGAGAAGTGATATATGCCCAAGGTCACACCAGTAACAAGTACTGTATTCTGGATTCACACCCAGCTCCTTTGATTTCATAGCAGGGGTGTAGTGGACAGAACTTGGGACTTGGAGACAGAAAGTCCTGAGTTCAAATCCTCCCTCAGACAGTTACTAGCTGTGGGACTCCATGCTCGTCATTTAGTTTCTCTCAGTTGCAGTTTCTTCATCTGTGAAATCAGGACAATAATAACCCCTACCTTACAGGGTCATGGATTGAATGAGAGAACACAGCTTTAATAGCTTAGAACTGCCCTAAGATTTTTTTTTTTAGGCAACTGGGGCTAAGTGACTTGCCCAGGGTCACACAGCTAGTAAGTGTCAAGTGTTTAGTCTGAGATCAGATTTGAGCTCAGGTCCTCCTGACTTCAGGGCTGGTGCTCTATCCACTGCACCACCTAGCTGCCCCTGCCCTAAGGTTTTTCAGACACTCTCTAAAATGCTTTATAGACTTTAAAGAGCTATCTGAATGCTAGCTATTATTGTTATTGTTATTGAGATTATTATTACTATTCCTCTTCTCCCTCCTCCTGCCACCACACTAGCTTGAAGCTCCTATGGTTCTATATGGAAGGATACAATTGTGTGTCGGTCAGAAGGTGACTTCTGCCTCAGTCTTTCCAGTTTCTCTAGTTGTTTGATTTCATTATTTCGGACCTTGTTGAATTTCTTGATCTCGGCCTAAATGAAACAGATTAGTAGTGCTTAGGATAGAGTATCACTGAAGGCAGGAGAAAAACATGAGACAAGAGTAGGTGACCGTCCATGGTGTCAGAAGTGTCCTCTCATACATACACGGGTTTGCTTTATCTGGGTCCCATAGAGTCTCAGTGGATTGATGACCTTCATTTCAAATCTTTCCACCTAAAGAAGAATGGAAAGTAAACATATGATTCAGATGGAATTAGTGTAAAAAGTGATTAAAGGAAGGAAGGAAAGAAGGAAATAAATCTTTATTAAGTGCCTACTTTGTGCTGGGTGCTTATTTTAGCCTTAAGCCTGGGTAGCTAATTGGCACAGTGGATAGAGTGCCCAATAGAATTATCTTCCTAAAATTCAAATTCAGCTTCAGACACTTACTAGCTGTGTGACCCTGAACAAGTCACTTCACCCTGTTTGCCTCAGTTTCATCATCTGTCAAATGAGCTGGAGAAGAAAATGGCAAACCACTCCAGTACCTTTGCCAAGAAAACTCTAAATGGGGTCAAGAAGAGTCAGACACAACTAAAAACAACTGAACAACCCTGGAAGGGAGGTGCTATTATTTTCTCCATTTTACAGTTGAGGAAACTGAGTCAGATAGAGGTTAAATGACTTGCCCAGGATCATGCAACTAGGAAGCATCTAAGGCTACATTTGAACTCAGGTCTTCCTGACTCCAGGCCCAGTGCTCTATCCTCTGCACCACAGCACCAATCCAGTCTATTATTGTAATATAGGTAAGGCACAGAAAGAACTCTGAGCTAGATCTTTATTACAGCCTGATGGTATTTTATAAACTGTTTTCTTATCAGATAAGGGTTGATTTTTACAGTGACAGGCAGGAAACAATCTGTACATAAGAGAATTAGACACATAAAGGATTTAGAACTGAAAAGTATTTTTAACAAATATCTATTCCAACCACCTCATTTTTACAGATGAAGAAACTAAGGACTGGAGAGAATAAATGACTTGACCAGAGTCACACTGCTAATAAGTAACAGAGTTGAGATCGGAACTCTGATACTTGATCCAATATTCTTTCCACTACACTGACTGAACCAACCTATGCTCTGAGGATAGGTTGCCCTCTTTCCTTAGGGCCATGCCATTTTTAAAGAATGTCTCCTTTTAGGCTCAAACCCAGATCCTCTGACTCTCAAGCCCAGTGGTTTTTTTTTTCTGTTTTAACACAGAATCTCAAGAATGAGCATGGATGGCTAGAAAATGAATTATAGTGAAGTAAATGTCATAAAATTATGAGTGGTGGGGGAGAGGCAGGGGTAAAAGTCATGTGGTCCTCCCACCCATGGAAGGAATCTCTTCTGCAAAACACCTGACAGGGGATGTGTTTGAATACTTCCAGTGACAGGCCGATCACTATCTCATAGTGTAGCCTGTTGCATTGCCTAACAGCTTAATTACTAGGTCATTCTTCATTTCATATTGATCCAAAATCTGTTTTCCTTCTAATTTCCACTCATTGGTCCTCGTTCTGCCTTCCTGGAGACAGGCAGAACAAGTCCAATGACAGCTCTTCAGATGTTTGAAGACAGTACCCTTGTCCCATACAGGTCTCTTTTCCAGACTTTGTTGTTGTTGTTGAGTTGTTTCAGTCATGTACTACTCTGTGACCCCATTTGGGGTTTTCTTGGCAAAGATACTGGAATAGTTTGCCATTTCATTCTCCAGGTCATTTGACAAATGAGGGAACTGAGGCAAACAGGGTGCAGTGACTTGACCAAGGTCACATAGCTAGTGTCTGAGGCCCTATTCGAATTCAGGTCTTCTGGCTCCTGGCCCCGCGCTCTACTCACTATGGCGCCACCTAGCGGCCCATCCTTTCCAGACCCAAAATTGCCCATTCCTTCAATTGGTTCTTTGCTTATTTCTCTCTAGTGCTTTAAATAAATCTATTTTATATTCAAGTTATTTGTGAACAAGTCCCACTTCCTCTGCCACAGAGCAGACTTGAGGACAGGAACTGGGGCTTAATGTTCTTTGTATCTCTTCCCATGCTTAGAGTTGGAAGGAACCTTATCCCTCACCTAATCCAACCCCTTCAGTTTGCAGATGAGGAAAGAGAGGTTAAACGACCTGCCCAAAAGCAAATAAGTAGCAAATGGAAGAGACAGAATTCAAATCCAGGTCCCAGGCATTTAATAAGTATTCATTGAATATTCTAGACCCTTTGACATATATCCATAAAATGTTTATTGAACATGTATTGAATGCTTTCATTAATGAAGGTATATACTTTGGAGGAGACCTTAGGCAACTCATTTCTTCCTTTGTGCCTCAGTTTCCTCATCTGTAAAATGAGGGAGTTGATCCATGAGGTTCCTTTTAGTGCTAACATTTTCAGGCGTTATGACAAAGCTCTTTTGAAGCCATCAACTCTGATATGATATTTTTTTTAAAAATCTTTTGAAATTGATCTACTTTCACAGTAACACCTCATCTCTGTAACTTGACATTTAAAGCCCTCCACACTCCAGTTCCCACTTATCTTTCTCGTCTTATTTTATATGATCATTCCCCTTCATAGATTCTCCATTTCAGTCAAATTGGTCTATTAGCTGTTCTCAGTGTATGACATCCCATCTCCTGTGCTTTGGCCCAAGTTGCCTGGGGCATCCCTCTCCTGTCACCTCCATTGCATCAAATCACTGACTTCCTTCAAAGTGCCCCTCCGTCTGAGGCTGCTCCGTTGCATTCCCCCCCTCCTTGCAATTACTTTGCATTTACTTCCCCCACCTGCACCCCCAAAAAGTGAAAGTTTTTTGAAGGCTTTTGTTTCTGTATGTATATCCAGCATCCAGCCTTGCACACAGTTGGCACTTGATAAATGCTTTCTGAACAGAATCACATTGAATCTTCATTGTGTTCCGGGTAGGCAGCTCATTAAATCTGGCATTTGGGGCGGGGCCATAGGGACTCACCTCGGCCTGCCGGTAATCCTGTACCTTGGCCAACTCCTCCGCAAAGTTCTTTAGGGTGGTGCGCATTTCAGGATTCTCGGTATTGGCAAAATCCAAGAGCTGCTTGACGAGCAGGTCTGCCTTGTCTCGAAGTCCGGCTGCCTTCCGGGTGTAGGCGGCCAACAGGACACAGAACTGGCCAAAGTACTTCTCAGCATTGTTCACCGTGTTCTCCATCACCCGGACTTGGCTGTCTCTGAGGAGACCAGCAGAGAGGGTTGACTTGGTGTAGACAGCACTTGCAGAAATGGGGCTAGAATCTGAGTGAGTTGGGTCCTGCCTGGCCTAATGCTCTTTGCATGATATCAGAGTGTCTCTTGGAGGAGCAATGATCCACCCTTACAGTGACATCAGATCCTGAATGTGGCTCCTCCCCCCATTCAGAACTTATTTATAAAATCATTACTATTTGTATACATTTGTCTCACAAAGCTCTAAACTCATCTTTCCTTTAGTTACATTGAGAGGAAAAATTGCAAAGTAGGTTGGTCTTTGAATACCCTCCCACCTTCCTTTCTGCACCATCTACTGGACCACTTCCGCCATCTTATAGGTTTCCAGGCTTCCCTCTAGCAGCACTAAGCTCCTTTTAAAACACCCCACCTTCACCTCTCCTCCATTTACTCAGGTCTCAATGCTCTGGATTACTTCTCCCTCTTGAACCTTCTCTACCAGCTATCAGTGTGAACATTTAATCTGAGTACTTTCCTAACCCTCTCAAGGATATTGTATTTTATAATAACAGTAATCCTAAATCCAAAGTTTCATCAAGGAATGGAGGTGATCCTAGGGTCTCAAGGCTATGTCATTGTCATATCAGCCCTGGTGGGGTCTACCAAACCAGAATGATATCAATATAATAACATAATAAAATGCTTGCTTCCTTCTTTATTGAACAGGCATTTTTTTTTCTGCCTACTATATGCCAGGCACTGTGCTAAGTGCTTTATAATTATGATCTCATTTGGTCCTCATGATTCCCATTTTAAAACTGAAGAAACTGAGTCAGAGGTTATGTGACTTAACCAGGGTCACACATCTAGTAAGTATCTGAGGCCACATCTGAATTCAGGTCTTCCTGACTGCAGAGCCAGCATTCTATCTACCACACTACTTAGCTTCCTCTAAGCATGATCCTGGCAAGAGATTGTGTCTACTTTCCAAGGACTGACCCAGATAAGTATGGAAAGGCTCACCACCAGAAGGTTAGTCACCAGGGGATATCTTCTTTGGCCATGGAAATCCATGAAACAAGCGAGAGAAAGAAAATACACCATTGCCATTAGCCCTGCATGGTCCCCTTCGACTTCTGTAGTGATAGGAGTAGAGAAGAAGGAAAGGGAGCAGAGAAGGCTAATAACTATATAGTTTTTAGACTAATTCTAAAGATTATATCTAACAACCAACAAGCAAGATCATACCAACAGCTGCTGGAACTCTAAATGTGAGATCCTTATCTAATTGATTAACAAATTTTCATTCTACTGGAGGAACGGAGTCACATCAATATTGGCATTCTCGCTATAAATGAAACCAGAAATTATGAGGAAGGGGCTGATAAATAGAAGGATAACTCAGGGATTTTTGGAGAGGCAAACATAGGAGTTGGCCACAATGACTTTTATCATACATCCAAAGGCAACAAGAAGTTATTTCACAGGATGCTTGTTCATCTGATGGTGTGATGTTCACAGCGATGAAGATAATTGCAGCTAATGTGCAGCTAATCTGTTGTGTAAGAAGAAAAGAAAAATTCCATGAAAGACTTTACAAGACCCTCCAAACTAAGGTGACACATGCTTTAATACTTGGGGACTTAAATGCAAGGATAGGTACGAGGGAAATGGTGAAAAATATAATGGAAAAACCAAGGTTGTAGACGATACAGTAGCCTTAATGCCTATGTACCATGAACACATTTTTTCCCAAGAACAGAGCTGAGAGGCACTGGTTTCAAATCTTGCCTCAGATACTTTATTAGTTATGTTACTCTGAGGGCAGATAGGTGGCTTGATGGAAAGAGTGCCAGGCCTGGATTCAGAAGACCTAAGTTCAAATCCAACATCCGACACTTACTAGCTGTATGACCCTAGGCAAGTCACTTAATCCTGTCTGCCTCAGTTTCCTGTGCCGTGAAATGCACTGGAAAAGGAAATGGCAAACCACTCTACTATTTTTGCCAAGAAAAGTGCAAAGGGGGTCACGTCAGACAAGAATGAAAATGGCTGAATGACAACTGATTAGTTGAGAATACTCACTTCCCAGATCAATTAAGATCATGTATCTAACATGCTTTGTAAACCTTGAGAAATACTGTGAAACCCGGGAAGACTTGTATGAACTGATGCCTTGTGAAGTGAGCAGAACCAGAACAGTTGATATGATGACAGCAACATTATAAAGACAAACAACTTTGAAAGACTTAGCAATACTGATCAACACAATGACCAAACAACTGCAGAGGACTTAACGATGAAACAAGCTGCGCATCTCCTGATAGAAAAGGATGGATTCAATATGTGTGTGCACGCGTATATCGTGTATGCATGTGTATATGCATATATGTATATGCACCCACACACAATGCACACACAGCGCACACATGTACATGCAACATACACACGTGCACGCATGTACAGGTATACACACATGTATATATGTGTATAAACATGTATATATAATCTATGTGTGTGCGTGTGTGTGTGTGTATGTAAAACTTTTTGGATATGACCAATAAAGAAATTTTTTTCTGCTTGAGTATTCATGTTTGTAACCAGTTTTATTTTTCTTGCTTTCTTAATGGGAGAGAGAGGGAGAAAGAGAATATGGAGCTGAAAATAAATTTAATTTAAAAAAAAGATATATTATGCCAATGTCAGTTACTATGATAAGACCATTCCTGGATACAACTACTCATCTCCCTTTCCTTTTTTCCCTCACTCTATCCTTTCCTCCTTTCCTTGCTTTTTCTTTAAATTCCACCTCGGACCTACTCACTTTTGTCTGGCAGGAGCCACCAATTCAGAACCATAGAATGTTCCAACCTTGAGAGGACCGTGGAGCGTAGACCCTTGGGGGCAGGGTGCTAGGTACACAGTAGAAAGGGCACTGGATGGTGGGTCAGAGGACACTATTTCCTACCTGTGCGACCTTGCGCAAATCATTTAATCTCTTGGCTTCAGTTTCCTCTTCTATGAGTGAAGGGGTTGAGTTGCCTCACCTCTAAGGTTCCATGTAGCTCTAAATGTATGACTTTTAGGCTCTCGTCCATCCCCCTCACTGGGAATCTGAGCCCCAGAGAGGGGAATTAACTTGTCCAAGGTCCCAGAACAAACGAACGTCAAAGCTGGGACTTGACGTCAGACCTCTTGACTCCCAGGCCAATGTGTTTTCAATGCCCCACGCCACACTCCATTCAGTAACAATTCTGAAAAGAGGCAATGGTCACAAGTAGGTGGAAATGATGGTCTTTCCAGAGTCTCAGCCCATCCTGTAATTTGACCTGATGTTTCTATTTGGGAAAAGAAAATGCCAGGAAAGCTAAAGTGTTTTGCTTCCAAGTCTCATAACTTAACTAGGCCAAGAAGATGGCATGTGATCAAGGCCTATGTTAACATAATTCACCAGCTCTTATTTCCTGCTGTTATGTCTGCAGCCTTGTAAGACGCCTCTGAAACCCAAACACTGTCTTATTCCAAGGTTGGTAGTAAGCTGGTGCTTTGAATCAGCCTTAGATAAGATGCTCTCTCTCTCTCTCTCTCTCTCTCTCTCTCTCTCTCTCTCTCTCTCTCTCTCTCTCTCTCTCCCCCTCCCTCCCTCTCTCCCTCTCTCTCTCTCTCTCTCTCTCTCTCTCTCTCTCTCTCTCTCTCTCTCCCTTCCTCCCTCCTTTCCTCTTTCTTTCTCCCTCCTTCTCTTTCTCCTTATCTCTCTGTCTCTCCCACTTTCTCATTATCTCTCTCTTACACAGAGTGGGGGAAAAGGGAAGAATTTGGGGCACCTTCCCATCTCTTGCTTTTCTGGGCAGTGAGAGGGTTGGAATACTAACCAATCAACAAGTGTTTACAACTGCCTCGTCTGTGCCAGGTACTATGCTAGTGCTGAGGATATAGGTACAAAGAATGAAATAATGAACTCTAAGGTCATCTCCAGCTTTAAATCCCGTAATATTTTCTGTTGATATTCAGTACAAAAGATTTGGGGATCGTCTACCAACAGTGACACGGAATAAGGTAGTTGCTGTGTTGCTTAGGCCAATCCTCTGAGGCTGCTGCATTTGGATGTAGTTGCCATGGAATCTGGCCGATGGGCTGCACGGTCATCTTATCAGGGAGTGATTACAGGCAGGCAGACGTGTGATTACAGCTTGGGCTGCTCGTGTGCCCAGATTCACATATGTGTAGCTGGAATGGGCGCCTGCCACTGTGGCATACCCAAATTTTCAGCTGCCCACTGGCGCTGCTTATCTGGGGAGCATCATAGAATCAACACATCTAAAACAGAAGTGATCATATTTTCTCCCCAAACAGATTCCGTCTTTCGACCCCCCTATTTGTCAGTGGCACTCCCTCATTGGCTTTTTCCTTAATTTGGTTCATGGCTGTCTTCTTGCTATCACACCTATTCTCCAGCGATTATCCTCCCCTCCCTCCCATCAGAGCCTTGGACTCCATTTCTAAGTCCACCAGCTCTGACGGGCGAGATTCTGTCTCGTCCTTGCCACGACCGGGGCCTCTGTGCCACTTCCGGCCATCTCCTCATCATGGCCTTTCAGACATCTTGAACTGGATATCCAGTAGACATCTTAAATTCAACATGTCCAAAACGGAACTCATTATCTTTCCCCCTCAACCTTCCTTCCCTTCTACCTCCCTTGTTCCTGTGGAGGGCAATATCATCCTCCCACCCCCTTGGGCTCACAATCTAGGTGTCACCCCGGACTCCTCACTGTCCCTCAGCCCTCATACCCAAGCTGTCGCCAAGGCCTGTTGATTTCCCCTCCGCAGCATTTCTCAAATACACCCCCTTCTATCCTCTGACACTGTCACTGCTCTAATCCCGGCCCTTGTTACTTCACACCTGCATTATGGTAATAGCTGCTGGTGGGTCTGCCTGCCTCTTATCTCTCCCCACTCCAGTACATCCTCTAATCATCCCCTAAAGCGACTTTGTTAAAGTGCAAGTCTGACCATGTGCTTCCCCTACTCAATAAACTCCAGTGACTCACTATCACCTCCAGGATGAAATACAAAATCCTTCGGCATTCAAAGCCCTTTATAACCTAGCCCTCTCCTACCCTTCCAGTCCTCTTACACCTTACTCCCCAACACGTCCTCTTAGATCTAATGACTGGACTTCTGGCTGTTCCATGAACAAGATCCTCCATCTCTTGGCTCTGGGCATTTTTTCTGTCTCTCATGCTTGGAATGCTCTCCTCCCCTTCTATATGTACTGGTTTCCTTTGAGTTCCAACTAAAATCTCACCTTCTACAGGAAGCCTTCCTTCTCTTAATTATTTCCCATTAATCTTGTTTGTACATATCTGTTTGCTTGTTATCTCCCCTCTCTGACAGTGAGGGCAGGGACTGTCTTTTACCTCTTTTTGTGTCCCCAGCACTTAGTTTAATGCCTGGCACATAGTAGGTGCTTAACAAATATTTATTGACCAACTAGTTTCATAAAATCTCAAGCCTCACCCCTTTCTCCCTGATTTCTGCCCCCCCAACAATGGAATGTAAACTTCTTGAGGACAGGGTAGAGACAGTTTCACCTGTATTTCATCCCCAGCCCTTAGCACAATGCCTGACACATAGTAAAACCTTAATAAATGCTTTACCTTTCTAACACACCCTTGCAATGAACAAGTATTGTTGACTCAGTTTCTGCCATCTCTCTCATATCCATTCCTTCTTCTCTCCTCCACTGCCCCCAGAATAGTCAATATAGGCCTGGGCACCTTGCCATTTCCTTTTCCAGCTCATTTTATAGATGGGGAAACTGAGGCAAAAGAGTTAAGAGAATTGCCCAGAGTCACACAGTCAGTAAGTGCTCCTGGAGTCCTCCTGACTCCAGGCCCAGCACTCTATCTGCCACCTAGCTGCCCCGAAATAAGGGGCATAAAATAAGTAAAATCCAAAGTCTTCCCTTAGCCCGGCACTCAAAGCCTGCTAAGACATCATGCTGCCTTGCTTTTCCATCCCTATCTCATACTACTCCTCTGCCTCCTTGAAAAAACATGTAAGCTTCTTGAGGGCAGGGACTTGAGGACAGGACCTGTCTATATCCCTGTTGCCTAGCATAGTGGCTGACACTTGGTAGACATGAATAAATGCTTGTTGACTTGACCAAGGTCACATGGTAAATAGGCATCAGAGTCAGGATTAAAATTCTGGTTCTCTCATTCCAGATTCAGCCTTTCTCTGAATCAGAGCCACAAAGAATCTTAAAGACCAAACGGTCCTACCCTCTTGAAGTAGAGATGAATAAACTGAGGCTCAGAGAGGGAAGTGACTTACCCAAGGTCACACGGAGAGAAAGTGGCCAAATCTGGACCAGAGTCCGGGTCAGATTTCTCTTTACTGCATCCTTTGCATACTCAAGAGTTGCTTATGTGCATTCTGCCTGTGGTCCAGGTGGCCACTTTCCTTACGAGTAATAGCTGGCTTCCACTGCACCTTGCAGTAAAATGCCATTTGTTCACTCTTTGGAAAATGAAATGTATAATTCTGAATAGTAATAGTGCCCCCTGCTGAGTTTTCCATCTCACCATCTTTTCTCTATGGCATGAAGTGGCTTTGGAGAAGGAAAGTAATTTGCATTCATCATTTAAAATGCTAAATTCTACAGTAGGCTTCCTTTGAATAATCATTAGGTACAATAGGTGACCTTAGTCTCCAACATATCCTCTTTGATCCAGTGAGCGGCCTCCTGGCTGTTCCGTGAACGTATCTACAATATGTGACAATTTTATGCTTCTGTCAAAGCTACAGAAAACAATGCATTCTATGGTTTGGAGTTGAAAGACCTGGAACTGAAGTCCCACAGTGTTAGAGCTGGGAGGGACCTTAAAGGTCATTCAGTCTCCTCCCCCTTACATTTTAGGAAACTGAGGCACAGGAAGAAGTGTTCACAGAGCTAATTAATAACCTGGGTCTCCTGAATGCTAATCCACTTAACACAGTCACCCTAGAAAGGGTTTCTTCAAGTAGTCAGTATTCGGAAGAGCCCTGATTCTGCTTCTTCCTGGCTGAGGGACCTTCACCTCACCTGCAAAATGGGGGCAATAGTTCTTGCCCTACTTATCTTACCAGGGTTGCCACGTGGGTCAGATGAAAGGATGGATGTAAAATATTTTACAAGCAGAAAGCTACATGCAAATGTAACATGTTACTGTTAGTGTTGGGATTAATGACAATGCAGTTCAAATAATTACATGAAGAGTCCATAGTTCCACTACTCCTGCCCTGCTAAGGGTTGTGAAGCCCTTCTTATGGCACCAAGACCCTGCCATGAATTTATGTTTGTAGGTGGTGCATTTGGTATCAGGAAGACCTGAATGTGAATCCTGCTTCAGACCCTAACTAGCTGTGTGACTCTGGGCAAGTCATTTAACATGCCTCAGTTTCTTATCTATAAAATGAGGATAATAACAGTATCCACCTTACAGGGTTGTTGTGAGGATCAAATCAAATAAGACAAAAGGAAAGTATTTCACAGTCCTTAAAGTGTTACATAAATACTAGTTATTTGGAGGCAGCTAGGTGGCAGATAGAGTGCTGGGCCTGGAGTCAGGAGGACTACTGGGATACTTACTAGCTGTGTGACTCTGGGCAAGTCACTTAACTCTTTTGCCTCAGTTTCCTCATCTGTCAAATGAGCTGGAGAAGGAAACGGCAAACCACTCCAGCATCTCTGCCAAGAAAACCCCAAATGGCATCACAAAGAGTTGGACACGATTGAAACAACTCAACAACATTTTTGTAGCTTATAGCCAAGCTAAAAGGTGGTCACTTATTTGGTGGTCATTCCATGCTCATTCCAAAGCATTACCCCCTAGTTTTCTATGCAGTGGTTTTTAGGGGACTTCCAAAGCCTTCACTGAGACTAAACAGGTTGGAGCAGGAAGATAATTTAATCCAGCCCCTGTACAGAGGGGCAAATCAAGGTCCAGAAGGTCACACAGCTACTTAGTAATAGAGTGTGGATCAGTCTCCTGATTCTGAGTCTCTTCTGCTTCTTCCCTGATTAATTAATTCGACAAATATTTCTTCAGCACTTATTACAGGAAGAGCACTACACTAGGTGTTGGGGGGTGGGGTGTTGATACACAGTTTACAAAAGACTCCGTGTTTGCTTTCATAGAGTTTATAGTCTAATAAGTACAATACACAGCAATAATGATGATGCAGTACATGATAAATGCACTAAAAGTGCGAACCGAAATTTGATGTGTTTGAAGGGAGGGGGATATTGTTACTGACCTTCCCTGTGGGACCCCACAACTGATAAACATTTATCGATCACTTCCCCCCATTAGCACTGGAAGGAACCTTACACTTCATTTATTCTACCCCTCTCCTCTTACAGGTCATAGGATCATAGTTAGAGCTGAAAGGGACTTCATAGGTCATTCAATCCAACGCTCTCATTGCATAGATGAGAAAGGCCCAAAGTAGGGAATGGCGGAACTGGGCCCCAAACCCAGATCCCCTGGCTCCAGTCCAACCTTGCCCCGCAGTTTCTTACTTTTTAGCTAGAGAGGCAAGACAAAGCCACTGAGAGACAAGGGTCGGAACAAGGCAGCTTGGGTTAAGTGACAAATGAGTGTTGGAGACAACAGCATAAGGGTGCCAGGGATCACTGAATAGAAGCCATCAGAGAAGGCTTGGAGGAAGAACTGGCCTTGGATTGGAGTTTGAGGAGAAAATTGGATTTGGATGAGGGACGAGAAGAAGGCCCAAGGATGCACACAATGTGTTTGGAAGAGAGTGAGGAATGAACGTCTGCATAGGGAAACGGTGGGATGTTAAGGTTAGAATCACAGGTAAAAGTCAGATTGTGGGGAGGGGAGAGGGATCATGGCATTCCCTAAGGTATAGAATCACGAAAACCTTATCTTAGAACTAGGAAGAACTTTAGAGAGCATCTAATTAAAACATTTTTTAGAGATCATCTAATTTTTAAACATTTTTTAGAGATCATCTAATTTAAAAAATTTTTTTTAGAGATCACCTAATTTAATTTATTCACTTTATAAATAGGGGAACAAGTCCAGAGTGAACTTTGCCTCTTACTGTCCACGTGACCTCTATGCCTCAGTTGCCTCATCTGTAAAATAAGCAGATTGGATTAGCTTAATGGTTTTCAAAGTGTGACCTAGAGTCCCCTGAAGTCCTTTCAGGGGATCTAAGAAGTCAAAATTATTATTATTATTATTATTATTATTTTGGCAAGGCAATTGGGATTAAGTGACTTGCCCAAAGTCACATAGCTAGTAAGTGTTATGTGTCAGAGGCCACATTTGAACTCAGGTCCTCCTGACTCCAGGGCTGCTGCTCTATCCACTGTGCCCCCTTACTACCCCCAAAATTATTTTCTTAATAATACTGAGACATTTTAATTTCTAATATAGTAAATATTGAGAGCTATAACCCACATAAGTTAATGCGCTGTGGGATTCCTTAATGATTTTTAAGACTGGAAAGGGGTCCTGAGACCAAAAAATTTGAGAACTGTTGGATTTTATGATGTCTAAGGTTTCTTCTAGCTATATCTTATTGATCTGATGAGTGCAAACACATTAATTCTAAAATCTGCCCGCGTCTCCTTTGGGGCAAACATAATAAACATTCACATTTATCTTGCATTTTGATGTTCCCAAAATGCTTTCCACATGACAATCCTGTAAGACAAGCAGTGTCAGGCAGGGATTATGATCCCTATTTTACAGATATGGAAACTGAGGCTCAGATTATGCAACTGGTCCAGGGGTCATCGAGACAGAAACCCAGACATTAACCATGTTGTTGTTTTTTCCCCTTTTCACCTTTTGTGTGGGAAAATCGCAGGGACGGGGAAATCCAGAATGCCAGAGACAATGGCTGGGCCCAGAGAAGAGATTGAGGTTGAAGTGAAAGCACTCACCTGGACAGGACAATGTTCATTGCGACTGGAGGGAGCCAGATCTGCTTCAGAAGCAAGAATGGAGAATTGGTTGGAAATAAACAACAATGAATCCTCCCGGCAGGGTGGAAAGGGAGACAGATGAGGCGCAGCTGTTGTCACCTGGCTCAGGTGAAGCTGGAGGCCGTTGCTGGGGCAATGCTCCCAACAGCGCAGGGCCGGGGAGGAGTCAGGCAGGTTGCCCCAGTAACGGCGCACTGGAGGCCAGCCCTGCTGGGCCCTGATCCAGGTCACACGCCCTGACTTCTCTCCCAGAGGATCAAAGCGTCCTTTAGCCCCACCTGCCTCTCCCCCCAAAAAACCAAACCAAACCAAATTAAGCCCTTACAGACTTAGATTCCTACAGAACTGGGGCGAGGCTGCAGGGGGGAAGGAGCAGAGGCAAGAGGAGGCGGTAGATGATACTTCCCCAAGGGGAGCTTTCTAAGGGATAGAAAGGGGCAGTGGGGGCATCTCAATTAGTGACCAGCAACAGACCCACTAGTTCTCAGAGCCTGATGTTCAGGGTGCTAGCTAGCCTAGGTTCAAAGGCGTTGCTAATGATATTTGCCTTTTTTAAAATCTTATCACAAGCAATGGATGGACCACTGGACTGGAGTCAGGACGAGCTGAGCTCAGAATTGAACTCTTGACTCTAACTTGCTGAGTAACCCTGGGGAAGTCTCACCTGTAAAACAGGCATAATAATAGTACTTACCTCCCGGGGTTGTTGTGAGGATTTCAGGAGATAATATTTGTAAAGTGCTCTGCAAACCTTAAAGTGATATGTAAATGCTAGCTGTGATGATGGTTAGCTGGGTGGCATAGTGGATAGAGATCCTGGTCTGGAATCAGGAAGGCTCATCAAATCTAGCCTCTGACACTTACTAGCTCTGTGACCCTGGGCGAGTCACTTGATTTCTGTCTGCCTCAGTTATTTGTATGTAAAATGAAGGTCATTATTTCCACCTACTTCCCAGGGGATCAAATGATCTTTGTAAAGTGCTTTGCAAATCTTAAGGTGCTATATCGTCGCTAGCTATTATTCTACCTTGGCATTTCTAAAGCTAAATCTAAGCTCTTGACTCCCCAAACTCAGTCTCCTTCTTACTCCCTCCAACATCATCAAGAGTTGTGTTGTAGCTGTTCAGTCGTGTCTGACTCTTCCTGACCCCATTTGGGGTTTTCTTGACAAAGATAATGCAGTGGTTTGCCATTTCCTTCTCCAGCTCATTTTGCACATGAGGAAACTGAGGCAAACAGGGTTAAGTGACTTGCCCAGGGTCACATAGCTAGTAAATGTCTGAGGATGGATTTGAATTCAGGTCCTCCTGACTCCAGGCCTGGTGCTGTATCCACTGCACCACCTAGGAGAACTGTAGTTTTTAATAAAGGAGCTCTAACCACACTGGGTTTCTGTTCTGTTCTTTCTCCATCTCCCACCTCTATTCCTTTGCATAGGCTGTCCAGTGTGCCTGCCATGCTCACTTTCCTTATCTCTGTGTCTTGGAACCTTCAAGGTTCAATTCAAGTGCAACCTCCTTTAAGAGGATTTCTTGGGGCAGCTAGATGGCACGGTGGATAGAGCACCGGCACTGGATTCAGAAGGACCTGAGTTCAAATCTGGCCTCAGACACATAACGCTTACTAGCTGTGTGACTCTGGGCAAGTCACTTAACCCCATTGCCTAGCCAAAAAAAAAAAGAGAGAAGAGGATTTCTTGATTCTTTCTCTTGTTAACCACCCTCCTCCCCCATCACAACTTATTTATTTTATATACATGTTCTATATTCCATGAAGCAGCGGATAAAGAATTGCCCTCAGAGTCAGGCCTACCTGGGTTCAAGTCATTCCTCTGCCTGGTGACCCTGGCAATGTCATTAACCACTCAGTACCCAGGGTGACTCAGTACCCAGAGCTGCAGAGCGCTGCAACCAAAGGCAACCATTGTCTGCCTCAGGGGCGGGGAACCTACAACTGGCAAAGGGATTCCTCACCGGGGAAATCCTCACACTGATGAAATCACAGATCAATACCTTTATTTACTGATCAGCAAACCGTAACAGCCTGGTGGAATGTGAGATTGTTGAAGGCAGTGACTAATCTCAACTTTCCTATCTGTATCCCCAACACTTCAAACAGTGCCTGGTGCATAGTAGGCATTTAATAAACATTGATTGATTAAGCGATAGCCCCCCTTCTTTTCTTTTCTTTCTTTCTTCTTCTTCTTATTGTTTTTTTGCTTTTTGGTGAGGAAATTGGGGTTAAGTGACTTGCCCAGGGTCACACAACTAGTAAGTGTCAAGTGTCTGAGGCCAGTTTTGAAGGTAGCCTTCAAACTTCCTAAACAAGACGCTGGGCTCTACCCGTGGAAAACTTCCAGTTACCTGAACTTTCCAATCGCTTGGATTCTGAATGAGTTTATTTTACAGCGTGTCCCAAAAGTCTTAGTGCACTTTTACGCTACTGAAAATTAAAACTTAAACCATTAAATAAATCTAAACTATCCAAATAAATTAAACTATTTAAATAAATAAACCATAAATATAAATGTACTATATGTGTATGCATAAGCTCAAAATATAAGTAAACTATTTAAATAAATTAAACTTTAAATAAATAAACCATAAATGTAAATATACTCTATATTCATAAACGACAAATATAAATAAGCTATTTAAATAAATTAAAGAAACCATTTAAATAAACCATAAATATACTACATATAAACTACAAATATAAACTATTAAAATAAATAAAACATAAATATCAATACGCTGTAGATACATAAACTATAAATATAAACAAACTAAATAAAAACAAATGATTAAATATAAAATAGCTTCAAATGACCTATTGAACCTTGAAATTGCACTAAGACTTTTGGGACACCCTGTGTATGAACTTTTCCAACAATGAACTTCAGTCACTAAGTCTGTTCTATGAGTATCACAAGGTCCAGAACACTAGTTCAGACCCTTGTCATCCCCTTGACTAGCGTATTTTAATAGCTTCTCCGGCTTCGATCTCTTCCTCTTCCTGCTCGTCTTCATATGCCTGCCAAAACTATTTTTCCTAAGATACAAGTCTGACCTTGTCATTCCCCTACTCAAAAATCCATTTCTCCCTATTGCTTCTAGGACAAAATAAAAATTCTTTAATCTGGCCTTCAAGGCCCTCCACTGTCTGGTTCCAACCTTTTTTTTTTTTTTTTTTCTGATTTATTTCCTATTCCTTCTGTTTACTTACTCTGTGTTCCAGCCAGATTGGACCACAAGGAATCTCCAGTTTCATCATGTCTCTCCCCTTCTTCTCCCTTCCCCAAACCCATTCCCCAAACCGCAATGCACTGTCTTTTCCTCTCTGCTCATTCAAAACACCCTCTTCAGTTCAGACATCTCTGTCATTCAGAGAAGTCTTAAATGGCTTGCCTTGAGGGCAGAAGGAGCAATTCACCAAAGACCCTGAGATCCGCAGACTTTGCCCAGCCCTGGAAGAGGGGAAGCTTTCCCAGGCTCAGAACCAGAAAGAAGAGTTTTTAGCTGCAGTGATGAGACACACAGAAAGTGGCCATTGCATTCACAACAACAGCAAATGAATAGAAGAGAGGACTTCCCCGAAACCTGGCAGCAGCCGGCCCCCTCTTCTTTCCTTGGTTCACCCCTTGTCTCATTAAGAGAATTCAGTTGGGAGGGACTGAATCATTATGGCCACCTTTCTGTTTTCGTTCCGGGGTTTTGCCTCTTGATTTATTCGTCTAGTCAAAAAGGCAACTTTGTTAACTATTAAGTGTTTCTCTGCTCATCTAAAATTGCTTCTAGATTGGATTTTAATGATGGTTTTCCTAGATAAAGATAACTTCTGTGAGTCCTGGGGCAGGGTCTTTAAAGAATGTGGAAAAGCGAGGAAGTCAATGGGTAGTAGATTGAATGGAATCTTATCAGTTAGGAAGCCTCATTTCCACCCTAGCAACCAAAAATTGCCCCAGGGCTCAGAATTTTTACGACTTTTATTAATAATGCTATTAGTAATTTATCATTAATTATTATTAATAATTTTTCTAGCCTTACAGTGTGATCTCTGTCCTTTTGTTATTGTTGAGTTGTTTCAATAGTGTCCGACCCTTCGTGATCCCATTTGGAGTTTTTTTGGCAGAAATACTGGAGTTGGTTTGCCATTTCCTTCTCCAACTCATTACACAGATGAGGAAACTGAGGCAAAGAGGGATAAGTGACTTGCCCAGGGTCACATAGCTAGTAAGTGTCTGAGGCTGGATTTGACTTCAGGAAGATGAGTCTTCCTGGTTCCAAGCCCAGCGTGCCACCTAGCTGCCCCATCTCTGTCCTGGGCATGGGGCAGGGGGAGAAGAAAGAAAGCCATGTGAAATTGGGACTCTTATGCTAGGTCAAAACCTTTCCATATGATCTCTATCTCTCCAGCCTACAACTCAAGGGAAGGGAGGGACAGCAGGGAAGGAAACCTCAAATTAAGGTCATGTCCTAAGCAGCCAATTTGGAGAACTGCATGGTTAGGGAGGATAATGATAGCCAATATTTATGCAGCCCTTTAAGGTTTGCAATATGCTTTATTTATCTCATTTGTTAGCTCATTTGATTCTCACAGCAACCTTGTGCGGCAGGTGTTATTATTACCTCTATTTTAGAGATGAGGAAACTGAAGCTAAGGGAGATTAACTGATTTTCTCAGAGTCACACGTAGCTAGTAAGTATCTGAGGCAGGATTTTAAACTCAAATTTCCTGACTACTAGGGGCAGCTAGGTGGTGAAGTGGATAGAGCAGCGGACCTAAAGTTAAGAAGACCCGAGTTCAAATTTGGCCTCAGACATTGACTAGCTGTATGCCCTGGGCAAATCACTTAACCCTGTTTGCCTCAGTTTCCTCATCAGTAAAAACGAGCTGGAGAAGGGGATGGCAAACCGCTTCAGTATCTTTGCCAAGAAAATCCCTAGATGAAGTCATGAAGAGGACTAAAAAACAACAAATACCAGAAGGTACTAAATATTTGGTTGTTTGATTGCTTGAATGATTCCGACCTGGACATTTTAATGTCCCACCAAAAAGCAATCATAATCCTTCTCCAAGAGTTTTCAGTCCAC